TGTAACATAATAATGAGTTGAAAAGTAGAAGAATATTGAAATTATCATAAAAGTAAAAAATAACAATATAATTACAATCTACAAATTGTGTAACACGACGAGTACAAGCAAATATAAACAAATAATATAATCGATGTATACCTCGATCGGATGCAAACAAGTATTTGGAAAACGCATTATAAATTATTCAGAGTCACTTAAGGCGCGAGTATCGAAGTAACGCAAATAAAGTAAGCTTGCTTGTTTATTTGTAATAAGTTAAATTTATATACGAGTATATATCAATCAATAGAACAGAGCAGTAACCTAAGTACTACCTTTAAGAGTTTATTTACAAATGTCATACATAGGAACATCTAATATCGTATGAAACCGAGCTGGCCATTGTGTGAATATTTGCATATTATAAATTATATAGTGAGTTCAATTTTCTAAGTTGGTTGGTATAGGTTTATTTAAGAAGCTGCTGTAGAAGAGTATTAAATAAATAGTATTTCTAAATAGCAAAAGTAGGAGACGACGCTTTCTTGGTCGCGGCTAACGACGCATAGCGGCTTGCGTAAACCGTGTCCTCATGGCAATTACCTACAATGTGTATCATGATCTACATAATAACTGCTAGGGCAATCATCATTCATTGTTTTTGTTATATGTTTAGTTGCAGTTACTTACCGTTACTTGTAATATTTGTTTCTTACGACGAATAGTTTCCTTCCAAGTACTTCTATAAGTTTCATAACAGTAGACATTGTATTTCATATATTTATTCTACGTAATACTGATAATTCCTAGAAATTTTATTTAGTATGCGAATTAAAAAATTAAAAAAAAAATTCCAGTTGACCTTCACAAAAAGAATCTGTTTTATATTGTACCCTGTTTATAGATAAGTATAATTAATTAAGATAATTTAACCTAACCACAAACGGAAGATTAATGGTGCGATGAAGGTGCCTATTTCATTTATCTAATGGTTTTCCACAGTATTTATATTAATGGTACAGTAGTCTTAATAAAATACTGGTATTGGTCGTTTCGATGACGTTTATAAACGACTTTGGTGGTTTTATAAGTGTCAAAATACTTGTATGATAATGAATGAATGTAACGAAAGTAATAGTTTATAATATATACACAGTTGTAGGATTAATTAATAATTAATATGGTTTCAGAAAATATAAAGTAGTAACAAAGATATAACTATATTTTGGTTACAAATGAGAAATAGCATAAAAATAATTTCCATAATGTTTCATAAGATGGTAAGATATCTGAAGATCTTTCATTTACATGCACAAATGCAAAACTTTAGTCTATTCACTTAAATACAAGAGCAATTAAGTATGGCTCCATGAGTTTGTACACCGCCGGACGTTTTAATCCCCGATGAATGCGTGAAGGATGCTGTAGTGGTTTACTAATTAATAATACTTCCTAGAGGGGAACGTACCTCCATTGTCATGTAAACGCACATCGGAGAACTCCCCAACAAATAGGTCATGTGGGTGAAGCTATTTAATTATGATCAAGTTAGAAACTTTTATTAATAGATTTATTAAATGACAGCGCTGGGTTCCGTCCCACATATTTATTAGATATTAATAGTTATACCTTGTACAGCTACTTCTACATATACCTGGTCCTTAGCCGACCTAATTACTAATTAATCACCATCTGTTTATTGGGTAATATAGGCATTGTTTATTTAATCATTGCATTACTCAATTTTATAGTTTAATTTAAATGGAAGGAACATGTACATTTGTATAATAGTACAACAGAGAGGCAAGTTTCTTATTCACTCTTCTTCGCTATAGATTTTTGAATTTATATAATCTATTTGTTTATATTGCGTTTTGTTTCGTAATACTGCAATTGTACAGGACTGTAATGTATTGCTGAAACAAATTACTGTAAAAACCGAAGTGTTTGTTAAATTTAATAATGTTATTATTTAAAATGTTATACCTACTAATAATAGTACCTACCATATAATAGACAAGCCTGTAGCAGGAATATATTAGAGAAAAATACATATATAACGGAAGTGTGACTTATGCCACAGACCAATGCTCACTCTACTTTTTGTAATATTTATTTATTCTGTGGTTCTTGCATGCTAATTAAGCCATTATCATCATAATTTATCATCATTTCTATATTTATTCTCTAGAATTTGTCAAATGAACACAATACTGTTGTATTATATTTATAAACACAAACCACATATCTATTATATTACAAATAACTTTGCGCATTGTTTTTTCTGTAACATTGCATTTTTCCTGGGAGCTATGTACTTCGGTATGTATAGATAAACATGGAAAGCAAAATATTGTCAAACAAAGGATGGATATTATATTATGCAAATAGTTTTTCATACAAATAATGAAGGTCGAGAATTATTCGAATTCTGACATGGTTTTTACTTAGCTAGTTTTAAGTTGTTATGCCCAGTGTTTTGATGATTATACAATGATTATATAGTACAATGAATGAACGTATAAACCTTGATAATAACCATAGTCTAGTATCAACTGCCACCAGAGGTATTTCCGAACCGATTCGAAATTGAAACCTTTAAGAAAAGAGCATATTCCTTCCTAAAAGGCCAGCAATCTATTTGTAATTCCCTTCGTATTGCAGGTGCTCATGTGCAGCGGTAATTATTTACCATCACGTGAAGGCTCGGCCTCTATATCGTAAAAAAAAAGAAACTCAAAAATTCGAAAATAGAGGTTAATCTTATTTAAGAGTCTGGAGATTGATAATTGACTCATAACGTTGTAGGTATCAGATGTCGTCAACGTGCGGTAACGTTGCGGTCCGAGACTGTTTCGTGAATGAAAATTATTATTACTTAAATATTTCTTAAATTTACTTCGTCAGTCACTGTATCACGGCAGACCTGATCTGCCGTGTCGACTGTTTCAAACATTTTCTTTGGATTGTCGAGACGCACCGTGTATAGAATAAACAACATAAACAAATCAAGGAATTCACTTTTTATAAGTTTTAGAAAGCAGATACTACTACTACTAACATCTAACTGAAATAAAATTAATGTATGTGTGTATTAAACACCTGTGTAATTGTATAGACCTATTTTATTATAAACACTGCGAACAAATGCCTACTACCTCTACCTCATTTTGCTACTAGGTGGCCCTTACCTGCCAAAAGGTTGCCAATTACTGCTTACATGTGTCAAATAGGTCATTGATTTGTGTATATAGCAAATAAAGCGTGTAAATGCAAATCGTTCACACGTTCTAGTTGTCATCGAATCGTTGTAATTGTCATCGAAGTATAATGTACGTGTTGTGGTTACATTCAAGGCAATTTTTTTTCTATTCATTGTAACTTAGTGTTTTGTACTAATTGACACTTGTCACTTGATCGCTTATTGAACATTGCGTACAAAATACACCTGCAACACAAGATAATAATATAATACTGTAAAGTGCGTTAAGGACTTACATACCGAGACGCCTGACATTTATAAAAAATATTAATTTTCAACGAATTTCCGTCTATGGTATCGAAATGTACTTTTTTGGATGGTTGATAATGGGATGATGCATCAGCGAACGGTATATCATCATCGAATCAAATCAATGCGAAACTGATACGTTCAGTTAACAGTAAGTACTTATGCTTAACTAAATGTAATGTTCTCGTATTGTTTTGATTGATTTTAGTCAAACGAGGAACAGTTAATATTGACATAAAATTGGAAAACCCATGTGTTTTCCAATATTATGCTACTATTAACTGTATTTATGTGTACTTATCCTGATATTAAATTATTACTCAAGCATTAACAATTGCAATATATACATATATAACAATGCTAGTTAATTAACAAAGATTTTAGTGGTTTTGCTGTATGTGTACTTTTACAATTTAATAATCAGATTATTGAAAATTTACAATACTTACAATTTTCCATCAGTGATTACACACAAACTAATTTGTACGTTTCAGGAAATATTATACTGTATTTTTTATTTTTTCTCCAAAGATAAGTCACTTGATGATTTTAGTGTTCTTGTTTATATTTAAAAAATTTATGATTTAAAAAAGTTAAAGTATGTACGAGTAGGTCTTATTTAATGTATATGTACAATTTACATGCTATACATATTAAAAGTCACTTATTATGTAGAAAAGATAGATTAAATCTAGTGTCTTATTAAAAATTGTAATTTGTTTAGTCATTTTTTTGTATGGCTACAAAAATGTGATTATCTTGATATGATAGTGATAGATATAATATGAAATTTTAATACTCTCAGATACCCAATAGCCACCATTTTTGATAATACTATTTCTACGAAACTTACTGTTCTAAATTAATAAAAAAAACTTATACCCAATTACGTAGTGTGTAGTTACAGGTGTGTACCAAATATCAGCAATGTACTAATCATGTACAATATGAAAACTGATAGTATTAATGTCACAGTTAGATACATTATTTTATTTACATACATACTTTTACTTGCTAGTCGCCCTACATTCGTGTCGGTTATCATGTTATGACAGTGTTAGATTACTTCCAGAAATATAATTTTATAATGATAGAAAACCTGTATTAAAATCCTTACAAGTAGTAAGCGAAGAAAAAAAAACAAACGAAAAGAGCGGCTTTGCTGCATATAATATTTATAGCTATAGGCCACTTTAATCCACTACAAACACTTAAATGTTTTAAAATTAAAATGTTAAGGTACTCGAGAAAGCCTAAAAGTGGCAAGTTTATTTCGGCCTTGCTTAATTCGGAGGGGGTATTGATTAATCGCCGCCTGGGGCGGCAGATGTTTGTTGCTGCCGACCGTTGAATGGCTCGTGGCTCTATTGTGAGCCACTCTTTAGTCAGACAGCTCGTTTGAACAACAAAAAGTTTGTTCCACTCTGTCGTAATATTTAGGAAAGCATGTAGAGTCTGCATGCAGAGATTTAAACCAGTAACTTTATGTATTCGTGTCTTGTTTCAGACGTTGGATTTCGACCGAGATGGCCTCACGAAACTGAAGAAAGCTATAAAGGCGATACACAATTCTGGAAATGGTATGTGAAACAACGTCCTTCGAGATAAAAGGACAACCATAAAACTCTATTCATATTTCTAACACATGCTATGCTTACTGATGCGAATGTTTTTGGGTCGCAGAGTCCAGTGTTTCTATACATATTTTGTCTAAAAGTAAAGTTTGTCTTGAATATAAATTATCTCTTTTTGGGAACATAAAATTTCGGGTGGGATTTAAAATGATTCAATATTTGTACTGTCTTGTATTAAATTTGTTGCATCGCGTTATCCATGCGACACGGGTCGGGACTGAACTAAAAATAGGGATAGCGGAAGTAATATATAAATAGACGAGATTAGAATAGTTTGAAAGTTTGATGCATAATGCATGTTCAATATAAACCACAAGAAAATAAAATAGATCGCAAAAATTATGACTACGATGTTTCTGTATCTGTATCTATACTATATATGATCCGTGTACAGCAGTCAGAACACAGATGTCTTAACAAAATAAAATATATATATAAAGCAAGAACATCACAAGGCAATTTTGGAATTATTATTATCAACATATTAGCTTATAGGTACATACATATGTATATAGTTCAAAGTGAAGTGCATTTGCATTTCCATAATTTTACTGCAGTATGAATGTCCGTTCGAATGTCCGTAGTAATTATGTCTTTTCTTTTAGATTTTACTGGTTAATAAAGCCTGCCTTGATGGTACTTACATACAAATTTTCCTCTAATATAACACAATACTGTTTCTATTTAGGGTTTTGTCACCAAGAGCACGTTTCTTTTATAGACGAGTATAAACATTCCAATTGTATTTTAATTACAATATAAACCTAACATATAATATTGTACCAATACTGTATTTCTCTGAATTTGCACAAATTCATCAAAAGTGTTCATTACCGCAGTTTGATTTTTTTTTCTCTGCTAATAAATAATTAATGACTTAGATTAAGCTTTTCACTTATATTGTGTCGTGTCAAACGAGGGTTGACATATTTTATGCAGAGGCAGCGCAGCGGCACTATTGATTTCTTTTGTTGCATGCCGATGCACTTTGTTACCACGTGGAGTCAGCTTGCACGCGTCCGCTTTTTGTTTAGTATTTTTTTAATATCTTACAAAGGACTATTTCTCTTGATATTATATCTAACACTATAAACTCATTAAATAGAGGAGGAATTGGATTTTTTTGTTTATAATGGAAAAACTCAAAATATTTTATTTAAAAAAGTTTTTTGCCAATAGAAAGCTATAAAATCGTAGTATTACATGTACTGTATTTTAATAAAAAACAAAGTACTATAATTTAGATACTGCAATAATTGCAATCGTGTAAAGTTTGGGCCGCCCGGCCGTTGCTCATTTAAAGTTGCTTTATTCAATATTATATTTCTTTTTGTATTTATGAATATATTACTTGGTTATAGTTAAGAAATTACCGAATTTGTAAGCTTAGAAATGTGTATGAAATATTATTAGTTAAAGATAATCCTAAATGCCAACATCGAACTGTCACCTAAGGACTAGAGGTCGTTCAACTCATTGAACTAGAATGACCCATATAATATAACAAAACTGGCAGCAACAGATATGTATATGTAGGTGCATTATATTTGTAAAATTAAACGAACTTACCTTAAGTGAAGTTCTATGGAAATTATACGTATATTAAACACTTGTAGATATTTAGAGGTTGGTAGTAGTACGGATGTGAAGGAGCATCAGTGAACGATGATTTGACGATGAAGCCTGGTTAGTTAGCCCATCGTGCATAAGTTGCTAGGGATTTACTACAATAGCTTCGAGTGGAAACGGCGCGGCCGTCGTTCTGCCAGGGTTTAATACTTACCAAAAGTGACTAGTAGTTCCCATTACTAATAATCCCCTCCTTCATAAGTAGGCTAAGAATGACTTGTCTGTATATTTCACGTAATAATCAGTTAAGCATACTTTGGTCCCGTTTGAAAAACGGATTGTCCAATCATAAGAGACAAACTGTCTTGGTTCTCATGGGTGCCAACAAAGCGAAGGGCACCTCATTGCCCAAGGGGAAGTAGTTACAAAAGAATTATAAACGACCTGGATATAATAATTCTCAACTAACAATATTATAAGTTTCTTATACATGTGCCTAACAACTTCCTTAAGTTTAGGTGACATATTGACAGTTTTCCAAATCTCGAGTTCCATTCAGTGACATTGATTTTTGATTGATACAATATAATGATAATAATAATAATATTTATGGATACAACGTTCGTAACTATACTATTATTTGGATTCGTTCTAGAAACTACTTTATATATCTTAGATCGTTCTTAATCAATGTTTAAAACAATGCTACATTAACATAATTATTTAATCTGTGCATTTTTTGGTAGTGTTTTGTATTACAACAATCAAATTCACACATATTATTTTAAACATAAATAACATCTGAAATGTTGTATAATAATAAAAAAAATTTACAAATAAAAATACTATATGTAATATTTTAAGCCTGTTTTTATACTCATATGGTAAATGTTGTTTACCACGTGCGACAGATGGCATGTTTTATAATACAATAAAATGCGGTATGTGATGAATTATTTATTAATTTATGCTAATGTCGACACTCAGACAAGAGCCGAATGCATGGTTTTAGAAATAAATATTCATGTTTGTAAATATTGTCAATTGATCTATTTCATGTTCTTGAAGTAAAAGGCTACTACTTACTAGTTTGTACAGTGCAATGCAATAACATCGCGTGCTGGGATTTATTTATTGCGAGTAACCCGTTTCAGTTCCGAACTGGTCATGCTAGTTCGGATTGCGCCTAGCCACAGGCGCAGCTGGCAAGGTCGTGCACGCGCGCCTGCAAAAACAACCAATCAGAACGTTTCAATTCCTATACAATGATGAGCTGATTAATAAAGAGGAATAAATCTGAACAAGTATATTATTTTATATATTATTATTTATGCTGATACAATAGCGGTAATTGAGAGTTTGCTTAATTTGTTAGATATAGGGTCGATTTGTTAATTGAACCGATGACATAGTATAAACCACTATGACATTTGAATTAAGAATTTCTTAAATCCTTAATTTTAATATAAAGTAAACAGTAAAACAACGATATAAAGTATATTATATTTACATAAGTGGAATAATGTTAGTCTTTTTAGGCTAATAGATTAAGCACAAATTGATAAAATACACCACGAGAACTTGTAGGGCGTAATAAAATTAGAAATTGTTACTGAACAAAGCGAGAATTATACGAATTTTGAGAAACTTACAATGAAATCTAAATTAGAAGTGTTAGAACTAGACAGTTCGATATTTATGAAATTTATGTCGGGTATACTACCATAACATAACATCGATCAATCCTTGATCAACAAAGCCTAGCCACTTTTAAGTCCTTTAAAAGTGTCCCTGTCAGCCGCTAAGCAGCTTACTTTGTCATCTGTGTTTAGGTTGTATGGTCAGATAAGGCAGTGAAATTTGATAATAAGCATGAAATCTAGTCTTCTGGAATGACGCCTGAGTCACGCGTTAACGTGATGTCCGTGGTGCTGTTTATGTATATAGGTGACGGTTACTGCTTACCAACATGTGTGCTGTAAGCTTATTTTCCATTCCAATTATATACACAATAAAATGACATTAGAGGGAAAGCTAAACTGAACCTGTAAGAGAAGAAGAACAGAATTTTGTTACCTAAGAAAGAATAAGGAATAAGGAAAAGATGGTTAGTGTTTTCTCGTAATAAAAGACGTAAAGAGATTCGCTTAAAATCTAATGAACACATGTTTTTTCAGCGTATCTTGACTTGGCTATAATATTAAAATAGTGCTTGTCTAAATGACATGGACTGGGCTAGTTAATGCTTTGCTTGATATCATATAAACTCTGGACCATTGCCAAATAGTAAGCTTTCCATCCTTCCTTATAGGGATATATCATTTTTCATATCAGTTAACGAGTTGAGTAATATACATATAATTCAGTTATTATTATATGATATAAAATATTGTAAGTATTTTATATCAATGAATTCTCCTACACTCATCATTAATGTATCAAATTGCCGATATTGAAATTCGGAATGACAATAAATACTCTAAATTACATCTATTTAGGGTCTTTCTCCATTATCGGCAATTTGATATATTAATGATGAGTGTAGGAGAATTAATTTAGTCTAAAGCAGCAAACGACAAACCCGGACAAAACAGAGAAATTGAAAGGCATGAGGCAGTTTGCAATTTAATATTCACAGAGCGTCTGTGGGATTGAGCTAGGCAAATGTGGGCCGCGACACGGATCTCCGTAGTCTTTCATCGCCTTCCAAAACTATTTATACATTATTTTAAAAGTAACATATTTTTTTGCTCGAGAAAATAGATTCAAGGGAGACCAACAGATAAATAAAAGAATCAAAATGTATTTTTGATTTGATAGTATGAAAATCGAAGTGTATGTTGTGTAGTAATCAAATTCTACAAATAGATATCTGTTTTCAACCTGCTAATTCCAAGTAAAAGTACTAGTCAGCATACAAGAAACAATGAAGCCTTGACCACTAATAGCCGGGAACAAAGTAAATATATACTTTGGTTAACCTATGCTTTATTACAAGTTAGCCATGTTTTAGTCTATCTTAGCAACGTATGTTAAACCTTTGCCCGAGAAAGTTCGTACTATTCTCAGATTTTATTTTGTTCTGTAAAGTTGCTCTTTGAAAAATACGTTTAAGAAGGATATATAAAGTTCCAAGTTAGTTCCTAACACAGTGAAGTATATATAAGAATAAAAATACTTTTCTGATGTTTACGGAGGTAGAATCTAGACTACATATACAATTTTAACCTTCTTTTATTAATTAGTTTTTAGAAATCAATTAAGAATAATATCCTTTACTTCACACGTTGGTTTGCAAATATAATATGTAACCGCTTCATTTTATTACTTCAGTTCGAACAAAAACAATGGCTTTTTAAAGGACCAACTTGAAAAGTTTGATTTTCATTCATTATTGTATTTGTAAACTTCAGATTTAGCGCTGTCGATCAAATCCGATCAATATTTGGCTATTAATAATTAAGTTTATTAAATTATTATAAAGCGATTTAAAGTTGGTTATGGAATGCATAAATAAATATATCTTAGGTAGGTATTTCGTGGAACTATTTTTATATTACCTGCTTATAATTTTGTATATTGGCCTTGGATATTATTACTGTTCCTTTAGGTATCGCTTTTAACATAGTCATCTAAACTTTTATATTTATTCATTCATGTTATATCATAGATCTATAATCTGACTTTCCACTAAATACGTTGAATGGTATATCAAATATTAATTCGAAAATGAAAAACATTGTGTGTAATCTTTCTTTACGAACAATTTTATATTACTTGTACATTACTTTAGATAAGATATAATAGAATCCCCAATGTAGACTTTAATTTTTATTCTTTATTTATTGTACTACACTAAGTCGGAACTCAAAGGAATTTCAGTGAACCTTTAGTTTATATAGCGTTATTTATATCTCATAATTGTACGTACGACAAAGTTAATTCAACTGGGAAACTATTTAAACATCCGACATTTTGAACAAATACATTCGCATCTATAGCCATGCAATGAAACTTTAATTCCAAGGAGAGCTGAGAGCCCTTTCTATAGTTACTAACACAATTTATACGAATGTGTTCATATTGTAGCCGGATGTTTCGCCCCACGTCTGGGGGATTTTGCTATTCGATCCTAACAGTTTAGGTTATAAAATATTCATTACCTGTCTATTTGATGAAATTGTATATTTACACATCATATATTTGTATATATACACGATCAGGAGCGTAAATTTAAACATTAATATTATGGATTATTATTAGATAAGGAAATAAGGAAAAAATATGTACCTACCTACAATTGTTTCTTTTTTCCTTACTAATCGATTTCATAAACTATGTTTATCTAATTGTATAATATTTTATTATAAAAGTTTACTTGTCAGCCCTTTCCATAGATAAATATTACATGATTCTTTTAATATATATATCTATTTGTTTTTTAGCACACGTGGACAATGAGATGTACCTGGCGCGAGCCTTGGAGAGGCTCGGAGGAAACGCTCTCAACAAAGATTCAGAGCCAGACATCGCAGCAGCATTCCTCAAGTTTGCTGTCGTTACCAAAGAGTTATCAGCGCTTATGAAAACACTGGTGAGTTAGTTATATATAAATAACGTAACGGAATACGAATTAATACGTGAACGATAATTTAGAACTATACCTTCTATTTGTATGCCTGAAATAAAACATTTATGGATGTTATAGTAATTTACTGTATACAGATTAATTGTGAAATAAGAATTTAAACAGAACCTACTTATTAAAAAGGAGTTGTATGTACGTAATATGTGTATTGTGTAAATAGCAGGCACGCAAGGAATAAATTATTCCTAAAATAGCTACTAAGTTCGAAACTGTAAATTTCTCGTGTGTAAAACTAAACAAAGACGTATCAGGACTCAGCCATCAGCCCGTTGCTTGTCCCGAAGTAATTGGACCCCGCCGCCCGTCGCAATAGCAATCGGAAATTGTAATGCTGAGGGAGCTCGCGAGCCGTAAATGTCTGTTGGAACTTTGAAGAGATCGGCTTATAATGAAACACGAACTGTAATATCTCATGTCGTATAAGTCATTTAATATTCGTGTTTTTACCAAGACAGATTTCGTAAAAAGTTGTCTACGTTAGCTTGCTTTCTAAGCTGTATTTCGGTTGTAGGTTGGAGAAAAGGCACTACCTACAAATCCCGTAATTCATTGGAATTACGGGATTTGTAGGCATCCGGAATGGCAATGTGAGTGGTCGGTCATGGGCATCACATGATATCATAACGTGATGTTATAATGCTATTTATTTACCAGGTGGGATGTCAGCTTTTCGGCCATTACATTTAAATAAAAATAAATACTATAGATAATGCAATACTATTGTTATTGTAATAATAGTAAAAAATATGTAGGTGTATTTTCAAAATTGTTTTGTACTATCTACTACTTATTGTAGCTACGCCCCGACCAGACGGTTTATTTTTTATTCAACTTTTGGTGGTCTCAAAGATTGCTTTTAGCGATAAGCCTGTCCCTTGTTTTCTCTGCGTGATCTATAACTTGTACTTTTATTTATTTCTGAGGAATATAATTCTATTGTAGGGGAACAATAAAGAGCATATATTTATCTTGCTTCATAAATTATTGTTGTTGTACTGATTTGAAGAATGATATATGGTAGAGGTAAAGGGTAAGGAATAACATCTTCCCCAAAATAGTGACGCATTAGATGAAGTGTCAGTCAGTCCTTACAATTTGTTAAGCATATAAACGACGGTTACCCCTTTAAGTCAATCAACCAATCAAAATTGTCTTAACTAGTGACTCTTTGGTATGACCGAATAAAATATATGAACTGACTGAGTAGAATGTAGGTCGTTGTTGAGATATTACTGTTGACACTTAGGATTTGGCACTTTATAGTAGACTTACACTTTTACGACGGTTTCAAATAACGTCAAAATTTAATGCATTTTGATAATTAGTTTTCTTATTAATATAATTTACTGCTAATTTATTTGTGATGCTTAATAAATGTACCGTACCATACAAAATTTGCCAGGATTACTACGTATGTGATACGCCTTTTTCTCGTTTAATTCTGTTCTTTTATCCAATTTTAACGTTTCGATTATAATCTAATGTAATATGATATTCGCGCGTATCGTATTTGCGCAGTGTTATTGGCATTTACATACATAGTCTTTCTCTGAACGTCGAAGGCATAAACATTCGGTTTAGGTTGGCAACTAAATTGACGTAGTAATCGGTGCGTGGGCGCAGCGCAGCGGCAGATTTGCTTTAAAATGGGTCAGGGTGATGAGAGGTCGAAATACAAATGTTAGTACCAGACTCACGAATAATGCATATAACCCCAATACATTGTGTGATTTTAGTCTATATAGCATATACAGATTGTTTTATATCAGCTTTAGGATTATCGATATTTTACTTTACGAAGATTAATAACTGATTTTGCTCATTGAAAATGGATATCATTATAATATGAATTATTTTTGTTAATATTATAATAAAGATTAAGATTAATAAGCTGACATTAATTAATATAAATATTAAAGAGATTTTTTTTGTATGTCGAATAGACTGAATTAATGTCCCGACTACCATTGAGTACATCTCTATCTGTATAACGGCCACATTCATTGCAATAAATAATTTCATTTCAAGAATATATGACTAATAAGATTTATCAAATTTGAATACCTTGAATGCTAAGTATACAGGATACCAAATTTGGCTTGTAACATTAAGTTGTGCAGTAATAATATATTCAATAATAATAAAAAAATAATAATGATACTTAAATAAATCGGCAATTGTATTTGTGCAATTTCTGTTTATTTTGTAGATAGAATAATATGTCTAATGTTATAATTATCGAATAACTACTATTAATCACGGTAGATTATTTATAATGAAAATACTATAATTATTATATAAGAATTATTTGACTGTTTTAAGCAAAATAGTTCTACTCCATTGACACTATTTATCAATATTTAAAGCGAATATGTAACTGGTATTTACTTTAAATATAGATAAATATTGTTAATATGTATACATACTATATACGTTTGCTTAGTTATAGTTCTTGTATACTACATAGAATAATACAACTTAGTACAACTTACTGTAACTATGATGCTTAAATGAACACGTTTGGAACCTTGCTCCAATTTTCTAATCCTTGTGCACATACAATGAGTACAAAGAGCACCGGGCTCTCCTCTTGGACTGCGCAGAATCCTCGACCTACCCTTGACCTGGCATTGCAATCCTTTGTCCTTGTTCAGCGCTGGAGCAGTTGATATTTTAGAGGCAAAAAGGCGTTGTTTCTACAATACCATTTATAAGAGTAAGAGTAGTTTAGTAAGATTGATCTTTGATGTAAAAGGGATAATGCATCTTATTCTTTAAAGTAAAGTTTATGATCCTTATTGTAGTATTGATGTCTCTTGGTTCTATAGAAACCGTTTACTACTTTACATCGTGCTTAATATCTACATATAAAAGAGATATGTTAACCATACTGCAATAACATGACACTCTCGTATTTAACATTCTTTACTATTAATTTCTTATAACACGAACTGATCTTTAGGTAAACCTGAAGGAATGGCTTGATACCTTATCAACAAGTGATGTCACAGACGTTGTAATGAATTTTGTAATGTCCAGAACATAGTGCTGTTCCCATTTTCCATCCAGTGGGCTGTTTACTTGTTAGCCATTCCAGTTACATAAACAACGTATTAAATATAATAAATATTATATATTATATTTAATACGTTGTAATATAGTTATAATAATAATAAATAATATAGTTTAAGTATAATATGATAGTGTAAGTTACTTGACTCGCTTTTGAGTCAACAACTTGTCATGTCTCGCATGAAGGGAGACCCAACTTCCTCGCTCTGCTTCCCCCACAAAATTGTTATTCTGTATAATCATCTTTTCGTTGTATAAAATACGAGATTGTTTATATTAAAATTTCCTGACTTGTGATGGGGCATCCATTAATTACTTAGACGTCTAGGGTGGGATGTCTTTGCAAATATTCAGTTTCTTTTTCCGTAAGAAACTGTGTCAAATATCATTGTCAACCCAAATCTTATGACATTTTTTAGAGGAGGTCTAGGCAAGGAGGCGTTGAAAAAATCGCTAAAAAACGCCTCACTTAATCATTGAACGTCCCCATGAGAACAAAAATATATCATTAATAGATATTTATAATAATCGGGGATATGTATAAGTAATCGGTCGAGCTCGAATGGAACTTGCAAAACGAGCATTCCGAACAATTAAAACTGTTTATGCGGATGTTATATGGATTGGAATCTATAGGTCAAACGATCTCCCGCTTACTGTGATTTTAGATTAGAAATAACTTTATTATACTAAAAAACAGGTTCTTTATTATTATTAATTTAGTTTATGTTTAACTTTGCTTTGTCGTAAACAGCTAAAGGCTCCATTTTAATATTTGATGTGTGAAACGCTTTGAGGTACCTGTTAAATATTCATTTAAATCTGTCAGACCGAGACCTTTTAACTCTACATTTTGTTACAGAATTATACATGAATAGCTTTTTTACTTATATGTACATATATCCTATCTGTCGTGTAGTACAAGATTAAATTAATCAGAATTTATTAATAGACAGACCTACTGTTACTTTTATTTTATATCTTTATATTTTACATGTAATATGTATAATGGTAAAATCGTGGAGAACCGTCTGTTTGAATTGTTGTATGTTAAGGTTTCACGTGAAAACGACTATAGGGTTTAGGATGAAACTTTTACAGAATATGTTGTCACATATAGCTAAACATATTGGCTAAAGATATATTATAAAAATGATTATTTTTCAAAGGTGTAACTCAAAGGTGTAAATTAGTATGAATGCTTTATTTATAATAATACAAGTCACGGGTACGGCTAGTTTACAAATATTTATTCTAATTTAATAGTATATCAGTTGATTTTGGGTTTATACTAACTTTTTCTTACATAAATGACTGCTTGTTACTGTCCTTATGATATAATCTATTAAAAGGTGTAAAATTTGATTTAACGTCTGGATGTTTAGCCATGAAAAAGTAAAAAATAGACAGACACACTTTAACATATATGATACTAGTATGAATAGAGAGAACATTTTAATACGGTCACTGCATAGCGCGAACTAAATGCATATTGTAATTTGTATTATGACATAACTAATGAATAACCTCTATTGTTGTACTTAATTGTTGAATTACTATTATATTGGCCCAAAACATTATAATTCTAGCTCGTATAAAGTCTCGTTATTATAAATATTTTATTAGTATGCCTCAGTTTGTTGTTGTAAGTACATGAAAAGTCATACAATAATTGAGTTATCATGAATTGAGTTATCATGGAAAAAATATTTAAACAAAAAACTTGTTTTGCATAAGCAACTAAAATATCTTGTATGAATAAATAATTTTTGTGTTCGAATTTGAATAATCTATTTTCTGTCGTCAAACGTGACTTTTCTGCTTTTTTAAGATAAAAAGATAACATATGTCACTTTTGATACAATCTTCATATTTTCACGTAAAATTGAGTCGTGAAAAGTTAACAGACAGACAAACATATTTCCGCATTTATAATATTAATATAGATTTAGTATTGAGTATGGATTTAAAGATAAGATTTCTTTCATATGAAGTAAATATACAATTGCTACTCGAATTTTCAATGAAAATGATTGAATGATTTATTTAAATTTCAACAAACTGAATTTTCTAAATTCTAAAGTCGTTCTATTTTCGTTTTACTTGCAAAGTTTGACGTTTGGAAGTTGTTGAATTGTTTTATAAAGTTCCAATGGATTTATTATAATAGATTTTGGTTACTTGGATATTGTCTTATGTAATAACGTTGATTTGTTTCCTAGTAATATCTACTTAATATATATATTTGAAAATTACAAGGATCACTACATTTCGTTATTTACGTATACGGTAACTGATAACTGCACATGAAAGATATACTTACAACAAAAACTATAATCGAGGGACTTTATCAACGTAATAGAACTTAAAACAATAATTGTTGGAATTTTGTCTGTTTGTCTATGCTTTTGTGCGCGCTTATCTCAGGACATGCCTTTATTCCATTTAGGTGCAGTTTTTCCTTTCATTTGAATTCAAAGCGATAATATGCGAATAACCTATGTTTAAAAATCTAAAAAAACTAGAAGTAGACTTTGTGTAAAGTCATCTTCGTGGGACCTTTATCTCACCCATTTCTGCCATTCGCAAAGCTGCTTTGTAAACTATGTTTTGGTTACAAGTTACCATATCTCAAATATGGTGGTGAAGTTACTGTATAAGGTGCTAAAACATCATCGTTCTCTGAAATGGAAATGCATGAGGTTACTAATATTAAGAGCATCACTTGATAATGGGAAACTCGTAGCTTCTTCTTCACGTATATAGGCTTCGTTTGCCACTTGCTACCAGATGGTCAGCTTGTTTGTTATACTAATTACATTAAAATAAACTTAGTAACAAATTTCTGCTTTGTTCTGCTGAATCTGCTGAAGTTTTTGGAAGACCTACATTATCTACATACATATCAGACCTACATATCAGAACCAGCTCGAACGACAACAAACGATTTGGATTGTTTAGATATACGGAAAATAAAAGTTCAACCGTTCGAAGAAGTTGAGTGTAGTTAATTGAGCGTTGCACATTACAATGTGAACATTGCGTGCGAGCCATTGTGTTAAAGATACCAATCAAGATCATGTCTTATGAGCTTACCCGCTTCTAATTGCTATGAAAACAAATCGATTACTCTTATCGAACAAATAATGTTTATTTATTATAAACAAGCACGATGAATGTATTAATGCTATAACACTCCGACTTAAGAAAAACTAATAGTATATCTATTAGTTTTTCTCAACTGAGCATAGCATTCATCAAATATCTGGTATCAGAACTATATCAGTTCATGGTGCTTTTACCTTTTTACCCACATTCCATACGGGTTATTGCCTTGTTTTTAATATGTTGTAGTATTTTCAATACTCAAAAAGTAATATATATATTTTATTTATAATCCTCACATACAAATTCAAATGTGAAAATTCGTGATGATTTGAAATTAATAAACTTCGGTAGCTGCTTAATGACAATGATTTTAAAGTACATTAATTTGCGGAACGTGTTCAATCGTTGACAACAATGTCCAGGAAGAGTTCATTCATTGTTTACTTCAACCCTTTGTCCTTCAGACCCTCGTTAAGAGCCCTCTATTCTGTCATTGACGATTTTACTCTATAGCTTTCACAGTCATTTCACTTTGAAGTCTACTTTTAGGTTTTTAATTACTGTAGTATTATTTACGAGTTAGGTTAATTTAGAGTACATTACGAGTGGTTATGTTTACGTTCACTATAACGTTAACTGTTGACAGGTGGTTTGGTTACCCCATATGTGTGATATTGTTTAAACGGTAATAGAATCTACTAAAAATTCTGTTTCAGTTACCGTTTATGATTTTGGTGTATATTCTTCAACTTAACAATGTTTCCAATGTAATAATATCAGTTATCTGATAATATATTACGAGCAATTGTATATACATATATTATCTCGGCAACGTGTCTACAGGTTTAGATGGATATCTGTATTTTGATAATATTTTACTCTTCTTATTACAGATATATAATAATAATACCACAGATATGTATTATTCATTGAAAATATATGTATATCGAATATAAAAATATTTGGTAAAAAAGCCATTCTCGTATTCTTCAACTTAAGCTATTTACTTACTACTTCCATTAAGTATAATGGTTACACTATAGGACTATATAGTGTTATTATTGTCCTATTAGTTCCATGGAGTAATTAAGACTGCTACAATCAGACTATTTGTTTTTCTGCAAAATATTACCCAAGTTAACGTCTAGAGATATAAAATTTTATATCATATTTTGTGTACGAAGTTGTGGTTGTGATTGCTCAACTGTCAGACAGTCCGCGAGCGTCGACAATTCGAGCAGTGCATATGCAATAGTGTGGAACTGTTTGTCTATCAACTACAGCGGATGGCTGTGAGGCAATCCGCAGTCATAGCTGTCTAGCAGCTCTAGGAATGCAGAGGTTTTGCAATTTTATGAGCATTCACAATCAACTTGGTCTATAAGTGCTAAGTGAATGCACTCATTGTGTTATTGTTTACTTTTTTTATATACGTCACCTGCGGCTTTATCGGTTTATTACGCAATGGTGATAATAGCTAGTCTAGTAAAGATTAATCTGGCCGTATTGTAGTCGTATTACTCTCTTCAAGTCCATACGATATACAATGAGCAACTGGTTGTCAATCTGTCAAAATTTATCTATGCAAATAATTTATTTGGAGATTTGTAGATCGTCGGAACCGTTAAAGACTGCCGTCGATACGGATTGAAACGAGATTTTAATTAATAAAGAAAAATATTTTTAATATCGTCACAATCATCTGTGGTATTCCTCATATCAGTCTGTAATTAGTTGTTCTGTCTGTCTTAGTTATGTGCCTTATAAACGCTCAGCAAGCAGTCCTGTCAGAGGCCGCAACAGTAACTCAAATATTTCACTTCTCCGCAAAATTTTTCATCAAACCTTTTCTGACAATTACAAACACCACAACCCTTTGTAAGTGTGTCTGACTGTCTGTAGTTGTCACGAATATTACTCAATAGACGCAGCCAGTGTGATGTGCTTACATACGTCGGGCAAAAAAAAAATATTTCTATCAATTTTGAATATAATCTATTCTGTTATTGTTTCTTTTGCCCACAGATGCAAAATATAAACAACATAGTGATGTTTCCTGTGGATAGTCTATTAAAAGGCGATTTACGAGGAGTGAAAGGCGACCTGAAGAGGCCATTTGACAAAGCATCCAAAGATTATGAGTCCAAGTACCTGAAAATTGAGAAAGAGAAGAAATCACAAGCGAAAGAAGCTGGTCTTATCCGGAGTGAGGTGACTCCTGCTGAGATTGCCGATGAGATGGAGAAAGAAAGACGGTTATTCCAGCTGCAGATGTGTGAGGTAAGATAATTAAAAACAGTATTAAGATTTATACATTATATCATTGTAGGTTCTATTATGATATTTTTCATATTCGTTAATAAAATTGTTTCATTATGAGTAAACACAAACGACAACTAAAAATAGTATCAAAGAGTAAAAGCAATAGTTTCACCCTAAATTATGAAATAAGTATGCTCTTGTCCCGTTTAATAATAATTATGTGGTAATTTTAAAGACTTTCAATAGTTTTAAGTAATATTGTTTTATCATTATTTTTGAAGTTTTTAACAAAATTCGTACATATGTGATTTGATATTTTATAATGTTCATGGTAATTATAAGGCAATTCATATCGCTAATATGGTTTAAATACAATTAAATATGGGAAAGGAGGTCGGAAATGTGTATTTGTGTTCACCCGTTAAACTCTGCATCTAAATTTTAACGTGCAACGTTCTACTTCATACGAAACACTCAACGCGTGTAGGCATAATGTAGTGTTACGAAACCTCGAGTTAAGATGATACTATTTGCTATTCGAGTTTGAGCGCAGGAGTACAGAGAAAATAAACTCGCTTCCTTAATATGAGAGCGGACGGTCGCGCATTATTTTTATTGGTTACTTAACTGGGGATTATTGTCGTGACATGGGCATCGCTGTGCTGTCTTTAGATCTTAATCCGCGAGTTTACGATATTTTTAAAGTATTCGAATAGTTCTCTAATCACAAGGGTTCGAGACCATTAGTCAAGATGTGATTGTTATGAATAACATGAAAACATTTTCTGCAGGATGACTTTCGTGCATTGTCATCGAAGTGAAGTCACAATAATGTTAAATAATACACTTGCAAAGGGTATGCTTTATTTGAATTATAATAAAGTAATATATATCGCTGAAAGAATCCTTTGATAATGCTTCAAAAATACAATAAATTATCAAATTTAAATGTGTATTTTATTCGATGTGATTTTTTTATGCTAATTTGATCGAGCCATTGGTAAACTTGCTGTTCCTCGTCTAGCTACTAGGGTTGATTATGATATGAGGCATCTGGCAAGGGACTTTTGACAAACTACAGCTATAACGTGACGGAAAACCGAAAATGGTGATGATTACGTATTGAAAAGTATTTTAAATTTTTATTTTTTTCTTGCAAGTGCTCAGAACACAATTGAATTTTTATTTATGTGTGTATTTATTATTTTTAGAATGTATAATTCTAAATATGTCTACAATATTGCAGTAGAAATTAACATGATAAAATACAATACTCTTTTAAGAAATTAGTAACATAGCACAGAATATATTTCTGTTTAAGTTTTTAGATATAAATCTATTATAAAATAATAAATCTAATTTAGGATTTGGCCAAGGTCTATTATTAATTTCTCATTAGTCAGCCGGTTTAATTTACCTAAAAATACTATTCTAAGTTGTTTTTCCGTTGCTAATCAAAGTTCTCAAAGCTTAGTTATATTGGTATGCAATCTAAATAAATTAAGATGTATAGACTAGACTAGACTAAGCGTTAACCAATAATTGTGCTTATGAAGTAACAGCTAGCTGATTTCTTTTGTTATTTAACGTCAATGGTTAAATATGATACGAGTACTCATAATATGTCGTCCTTAATATAATTATAATATTATATCAAGGCTTTGAAACTATGTCATCGTTTATTGATAGGATCTCAAATGGCCAACTTATTAGATGTCGAACTAATTACTTATTGCCCCGTTCTTGATAGCTTTTACGTCAATGACGTCATTTGAGAGTGTCTTGACCCTGTAGCTAATCTAGTGTCCTAAGTATTTCTAAGTAACAAGTTTATGTTTATAATCTTGCTTAGATCATAAAACTAGTTAGGTCCAATATATATAAGGATGAATGAATGTTCTTTTAATGTTTACTCTTTATAAATTTAAATATTCGATATAGAATACATTACATTTATATTAGAATTTTTATGTCAATACTTACTCTATATTTGCACACTTTTTATACACAGTATGCGCCGTGAAGCGTGTATCTGTATTGCGCGTGCACAATGTGAACGACCTATCACTATCACAAAAGTACTATGTTAGGTCAGATAAATATAGGTATTATAGCACGAACATAATCCAATATATACAATGTAAACCTAACATGAACTTTACTATATATTAATAACGAGGACAAATGACTTGAAAATAATAAATATAAATTAAAAATTCTATCGAATAATATAATTATTTATTCCTATATTTCAGTTACGAATTCAGAATATTATAGCTTTTAATTTTTCTAATTTTAATATTAAACTATAATTTAGAATGAGACTTATTTATATAGGAATCCAGCAATCGTTAGAACAAATTGAAAATATTCGTTCTACTCATAATATTACTGACAAGTGTTATAATTCACTTCAATCAATTGCACGACTTATCGTAACTTGACTTAGTGTGATAACTCAACTCGGTTGTTATCGAGATAACAACATTAAAATGGGAATGAATTGCAATTTATAATTGTACACACAGACGCACCATCCATTTATATTGCCTAAAATGTAATTAGTAGGACTTCTGGTAATTTATGGTTTGCAGGCTTTGTATTTCAACGCTCCCCATACGATAAGTGTTGTTTGTGGTCATCAAGAGCCGTTATTTCCACACAATCCACCGGCAACAATATGAAAGGTCATAAGTACGATGACAGTGACAATGGTTTACTGTTAGTTATTTCTAATAATGCGTGTGAAGTGCCAAACACATTGCTACGAGATTGCCATTGTAGAATATTCTATCATCAATCATCACACTTAATTCTACTATCGATTGCAAACTCTATTGCTAAGATGTAAGATCGAAAATAGTCGTCAACAGTGATTGAATGCAGTCCAGAGTGATATCAAAAGCTTGCCAAGATTGCAACCTATAATTATATGCCTATTGTTTTTATATCGCAGCCGTAATGTTTTAGTGTTTTCTCTTCATCTGCCCTTCCCATCGTTACTGTAATGGTCCAATATTGTCTGGTATTGGTCTACTTATTCTCTAATGAATTAAGTCAATGGCTGGACGTGTTACATTAAACCTTTAGATAATCAAAACATCACAGTTTTTATTATTTAAATGGGTAATCCTTAGAGAATTAGACCCTATCTTTTCTAAATTCTTTACTCGACAAAAGCAACGAATAACCATAAAGGTTATTCTTAGTTAAAAAGCCATTGAGTTGTTGCTTGCTATATAGGTCCAATGCACTTATTTAGCATGTATTGTCCTAATGTTCTGCATTGGTGCCAAATGTACGCACCATTATCTTGAGCTGTGATGTACTTATGAATAAGCCAAATGTTTGGTTTACGGATCATGGCCTTATTTCACAATATGCTATTAATAATGTTATCGGCCAAATCGTACCATCTGCTAATATTTGGGTTGCTTTCAGTTCTTTGGTCAAGGTTTCTTTCGGTGTAAAATTATATTCAGAAATTAGGTACACCCACCTAATTTGGGTTGGGTTTGGGTGGTTGAGTTAAAATTTAATAATTTAATTTTTTAAGTGAGACAAATGATTACAGTAGTCTCGAAAATGCACGGCGGTCATACAGGAGTGTGGTGTCTATATACTATAGCAATTAATAAATTGCTTACTAAGAATAATATATTTTTAAAACAGTAGCGTGTAAATTTGTGTTAATAGAACATATTACAGACAAAAGACAGCATTACCAAGTACATTCGATTAAATATGTTTTATTGTTCGAAATATTCTTGATAAAATTTGATAAGATAGGTATATAATTTAAGAAACTTTCTGTAAGACCATTAAAGAAGTTTCATTATTTAAGTGTTTATAAACATTATCTGTAAATGTTTAAAACATTTAATTTAACTATATTGATAATTATTTAGAAAGTAGTTTTATATTGAATACGAGAATTCGTAACGTTCACGGTTTCACCTAATTTAATTTTTTTTTGTTCCTCACGGTCCGTATCTGAATCAAACCTCAGTGGTCATTACAAAACAAATTGTTTCCTGTCAAGTACACAACATTAGCAGACGGAGGTCATTAGCCATTGGGTTAAAAAAAAGAAGTCAACAGGTCCAGTGGTCGGTGCGGTACTGCGGAGACGCCCGTCAGGTCGTCGACCGGCCTTGCGCCGTCGCCACTGACCCTCGCTTTGTTCCAACTCGCACCGGCATCGCGACACGGGCAAATACCGAGTACCCACAACCCACGCAATTTCACGTTGTGATAGCACTTTTAGATATATTAAACGACTCAACGTATTCACCATAAAAGCAGTCTTAACTTAGTACTTAGGTATTTAAAACAGTGCAATACTATGTTGCAAACATGTCAGTTTAAATTTTGCAAGGTCGCACACAACTCATCAATCTTATTGCACAGCTGAGAGACTATTTTGAATTTACTATATCGTAGATGCGCGTAAGCGCGTCATCTGGTATAAATTTAACTCGCGGAAGGGTTTCGCATAATATTCGTAATTTGAACAGTCTATCCCGGACTACCATCTGTCTCGCCGCGTTTCATCAGTCACAGTTGATGAAGTAATAACAGTCATGCCTACGCGCTGTTTTCGGCGTCATTCTGTCTGATTGTCCAGTACACTAGGCTGGCTCCAGTCCACTTTTGCGATCGTCGATATTATGTTGAGTGTATTGTTATTTTGTTTTAGTACCTGATTAAATTCAATGAAATCAAGACGAAGAAGGGGATCGAACTGTTACAACACCTTGTAGAATATTATCACGCGCAGACGAATTACTTCCAAGATGGACTTAAGACAATTGAACATTTCGGTGTATATGTTGCGGATTTGAGTGTACAGTTACAGAAGATCAGACAACAGCAGGACGACGAGAGGAGGAAGTTACTTGAGCTACGGAATATGTTAAGGGCAGCAGCGCCACAGGATAGAGAGGTTAAAAATTTTCTAAGTTCACTGGGGTGTCGATTTTAATCTGATTACTGTTCACAAAATTATAGTAATTTAAATATGTTGTGATACAAGATTATGATTGCCAAGAAATCGCTGTTATACCAACCAACACATTCATGCTATTATTTTACAGGTAGCTTCATCGGTAGGCGGTTACTCCCTTCACCAACTACAAGGTGACAAACAACACGGTGTTTCACGTAGTGGATATTTGCTCAAAAAGTCTGAAGGGAAAGTTCGGAGGGTATGGCAAAAGCGACGATGCAGAGTCACTGCCGAAGGATTTCTAGACATATTCCATGCAGATGAGAATAAACCACCTGCGAGGGTCAATCTTTTGACGTGCCAGATTAAAGTAGCCTCAGAAGATAAAAGGGCGTTTGATCTAGTCTCATGTTAGTACTATTACTGCTAAAGATACCTTATTAAACTTCCTTACACGTGCTAATAATATCTAGTATAATATACACTAAACGTACGAATTATTTCATATCTTAATTGCAGACACTATATGGCACTTCACTAGAAGGTAAGGTACCTTCTAGTGAAGTGCCATATAGTGTCTGCAATTATCTGTTTAGTTCTCTCTTCTTCAATGATGCAACAATCTGTGTTGTTGCGTTTCTTTCTAAAGAACCATCGCAATTTTTAACAAAAGTGCCATAATAGTTTATGCAGGGACTTAAATATACTTATTTGTCAGATAGCATTTTCCATGTGTTTCTTTAGTAAAAAGGTCCAACGTCAATCAAACGTTCCTATTGTAATATGACATAATATATGTGCAATATATTGATTAGTAGCCATCTATAGTCAGCGTCGATAAAAAAGAAAATAATTTTGTTTCAAAAAATAGAAAAAATGTATAATTTATTTTCAGATAATCGTACCTATCACTTTCAAGCGGATGACGAAAACGAACAACGTGCTTGGACGTCCGTTTTGATAAACTGCAAAGATGGTGCTCTTATGAGGGCGTTTCATCAGCAAGCTGGTGAGAGTAACGACTCGGGACATTCACTTCTCGACCTGCAGCGGTCGATCATAAGAGCCGTGAGAGCCATGCCCGGGAACCAAGTTTGTGCTGACTGCGGTTCTACAAATGGTATTTTTTCTTTATAGTTCCCCAATACTTACATTTTCTTTCGGAATAAACTGTAAATTAAATAGTTACAGAATAGTGTAGAAATGGGCGATGTAAGGGACCTTAGCTGTATTATAATAATTTATATTATAAATATAATCTGCGGTATCTGTATAAACGGCTGAACGGATTTTAATAAAATTTTACATGAAGGTAGATTGATATCACGAGGTAAGACAAAGGTCATCTGATGTCTGAAAAGCTGAAGTCGCGGCTAGTATTCTATATTCAGAAAGTCGCTATTGTGGTCTATCACCACTGTAGTTTTGTAGTGACAATACAATACTCTATTTGCTTTTTTTGATTTGACGGCGACAGTTAAAAGCCTAATCTTTTTACGAATCAATTGGATTTGCATATTCTATTGTGAGATGACACGGCCAGATTGATATTTACTGAGCTCACTGAGCAAGTAATCACTATATTTCTTATTGAGTTTTTTTGAGTCAATACAGTAAAGCTATAATAATTTGATTGAAGTAGAACATGCTTTAGATTTTTTATGTGGTGACAGAGTAAGATATAAAATGTGTAATTCCTATACATTTACAGTATGTCGTAAACATGCTCATGGTGATATTAATGAGCTGAATATCTTGTTTCATGGGCATACCTGTGCCCTGTAGTGGAACTTCGATGTTTCTGATATCATCTATGAAACTTGATTGTTTTGTAAATTAATAGTTTCCCTTTTATAATAATAATAATAAAATTTGAATTGAAAAAGAAAGTATGAGAAATGGGAATATATTTATAAGTTCTTACTCATGCAGATTTTATTAAGGCGGAACAAACACTCTATTAAAACCTTGAACAGCAATTCATTATCCGGTCCCATCATAATTACACATACACACATTCCATTAAATATTGCTGTTTACAGTCGGTAGTAGTAGTTAGTAATAATGTTTGGTAATAAATAATTATCAAATATTATTATCATGAGTATACATACATTTGTAATCTTAATTCTTTCAATAATAATCGATACCGGACTCAACAAAATACATGAATTCAATTCTTTTGCAACTAATATGCCATAAAATAATTATAACTATACGACTGATTCATAAAAACATTTGTCTATCTTTGTATGTTATATATCATTAATTTATTGTATACGTCACAAAGAAATTTTAAAATTATTTAGTAATATAATTCCAAAATAAGACAGTTCAATGCTTAATTAAAATTTAGTTATTTCTGAATTTTTATTATTCTTTTCGCTATTTGCTATACAGACATTTTTTCCTATACTGGTCTCTCTTACTATATCAATTCAATATTTTGTCACAATTCGTGTCCGTTTTTTATAGATAACAATATTATATTGTTTTCTTAAATAAATGTACGGTATAAATAAATAGTAATGTTTTAAATATATAATTTCAGATCCCACATGGCTATCAACAAATTTCGGTATAATAGTGTGCATAGAATGTTCGGGAAGCCATCGCGAGTTGGGCGTTCACATATCGCGGATTCAGTCGCTCACCCTCGACCGACTCTCCACATCCCAGCTGTTGATAGCGCGGCATATGGGCAACCAGATGTTCAACGAAGTTATGGAGAACACACTCGATGAACGGGAGAAACTGACGCCAGATAGTACGATGTGAGTATATATATAGTCATCTGTATATGTATATGTACTATCTAAATAATACAACAACCTTGACTTACTTGACCTTGAAAGACTCAAACTAGTTGTAGTGTATTATAGTTTCCCTGTATTTTTGTTTCTTGTCATACAAATTGCATAGTAGCAAAAAACCCTGGGTAAAACAGTTCCACATTATTATTGAACGGAAAAAAATTGGCAATGAATTCCTATATAAGTCCTATATAGGTCGGTGAGGTTCAGGTAAAGTGAATAATTGAAGAAATAGAAACTATTACTAAACCTTAATATCGTTGCATACATTAATAATAAAAAAACTAGTGAGTTAATTTGTCAAGTGACATACCGGGAAATTCCAATTAACGACTTATTGTTTTTCGAATAATGTAATTGCCAAGCTAATGAAAGTAAAAAGCTTTATGTCATCCGCTTTTCATGAACACAATATAGCCTTAGTATAATGAAGTGGCACTTCGTATACTGTTTTATTTATATAGTACTCGTAGTTGTTATAGCTTGTAAATTTTTATAATCTCCCATAAATATAAAATTATCTAAATATGTACTACTATTTCTTTTTATAATGTAACTCATTTATACGCATTGTCAGACAATATATATTTGATATTACGTGATAACAGTATTGTTCAGTGCAGTATTTTGTTTTCTGTATTTATATATTGTTTTTGACTTAAATCATCAAGCCGTTGGAGGTTGCTGTATTGTTTTATTTCTTACTCTTCTTCGAAAGTCTATATAACTATGTAGTAACACACTATACTATTGATTTCGTAAAGATTGGAGGTTGTATTGTGTTTCGTATCCATGTAGTGGTTTGACTGACTTACATCCAAGGGGTTATGATTTTAAATCTGTCAGACACTTTAAAAATTGTATTTGACTCCCTATAAAGGAAACAATGATATCAAACCAAAAAATAACTCCAAAAACGGCGGTCAATTCCTACCATGTTGGATTTGAATATATCCAATAAAATGTCTGCAAATCAAGTTGTTTTATTCATCACAACATCGATAGTTTACAATGACTCTGACTACCCTATCTAAGATAATACTAGCGACGGTGTGTTTTATGTTGAAAATTTTAATGATATATATTTTTTGTGGCTTTTATAGGGAGGAGCGTCTCCGGTTTATTCGTGAGAAGTATGTATACAGAGCGTGGGCGACGCAGACGTGCTGTGACGAGGCCGAACGTCTTTCCGAAGTGGAACACGCAGTCAACAATGGGCATCTACAGAATTTGTTGCAAGCATATGCTGAAGGCGCCGATTTAGCTGCACCACTTCCGTGCTCCGTAAGTCGAAGTATACTATACATACAAAACCGAATTAATACTATACAATAGAATTCTGAAATAAATTAAAACATATTAAAGACAGTCTATACTAATGTTATCATATTAAATGACTATGTTTCTGTCAAGTTACTTTATTAGATATTTAACCTCTGATTTATACTTTATTTAATTATAAAAATGAAAGGACTTATCGCTATCCAAGATTATTAAAATTTTATGATATAATATCATATCATAAAATTTTAATATAAGTGCTTGTGTTATATAGAGATACATTACTAAATCATTTTATGAATATTGGATATATTTGCGGGGTGTGTCGCTAACGAAAAAGCGATAACAAGCTTCTTTATTAACGTTTCGAAGAATGATTTGTCCAGGCAACAACTAGGTACAATTATGTACTATTGCCTCCGAAATTTTAGTCAGCGTTTTTTTCTTTTATTTACTTAATAATGTTTTTTTTTCTTTTATTTACTTATTTACTTAATAACAAAACAATATTTATAAAAGATGAACAACAATTGGTATAATGAATTTCCACTTTGCTGTTCACATATGTATCTTTGTAAGTGTAAACAACTACTGTCGCATTACAGGATTGCGGAGAAACAGCCCTCCACTTGGCAATATCCCGTGAGCTTGGCGACGGCTCTAGTCTCCACATAGTCGATTTTCTAGTCCAAAACGGCGGTTCACAACTGCTCGATAAAACGATGTCGTCAGGCATGACGGCGTTGCATTTGTGTACAGCTACCGATAGAACTGAACCATTGAAACTGTTGCTCAAAGCTGGCGCCGACTGGACAATAAAGGACGGCAGTGGTCGGACCGCGTTGCAGATAGCCAAGCAAATGGGGCACCATGCGTGTCAGGAATTGGTTTGTAAATTTATACTTCTATATGCGTTTGTAGTAAGTAAATGATTCGATATTCGATGGTTACTATTGGCGAAGATTAGTAATTAGCTTTGGACAATTCAATATGACATAACATGTAAAATTACACCATTAATCTTCCTAAAAAAATAAAAAATAATGTATTTTACCGCTGATGACTTGAGGCAACATAATTGGTTAATTGTGATCATAATAATGTTTTATAGCGGAATTTATAAGGACCGAATGTATATTTTAATGTATAGATTCGTGGATATGAAAATGAAAGTAATATCAACATTTTATCAATGACAAATATATTATAGCGACATAATTAGAAACTGCTACGCATTAATGGTATCACGGGCGTAAAGTGATGACGTGATGTACGTGGTGAGATTGTTACTTACCATCAGGTATTGCGCCATATCAGCTTCTTTGTCATTTCAATTACATAAACATGACTGTCCTACTGCTACTACTATTGTCCTTTTAAATCACTTATGTATAATTCATTCCTGTTGAATAATAACCTATACTAAAAATTCGTATTGTGGTACTATTTTTCTTACAGTTGGAAAGTGTCGATAAAAGAGAGAAAAGTATATTCGAGAACATAAATGTAGACTGGAATTTGTCCCATGATGATGGATCAACGGATTTTTCTGACGATGACACTGTTATAGATGAAAGAGTAAGTTTTTTCCATAATATTGTAATTATATATCTAGCCACAAATAATTGAAAGTTGATATGCAGCTGTGGAATTAAAATATAAATGACTTTATTGAGTGGAGGGTCACAACTCGGGCGAAGAGTGTCTGGTAGTAGGAAACATGCCTTCCTATGTGTATTATTTAGTTTATTTCCAAAACATTGTATACTAAAATTATAAATTTGAAACTGTGTTTGAATTTGTTACCATTTTTCGGCTGAAGTGATCTAACAGAATCAAAAAATATGTATGACAAATACGAACATAGGCTATATTTATCTTAAAAAGCCTACGAAGTCACAGGCAATAGTGATGTAAGTTTACAACTGTAATGTGTGTATTTACAGCAAAATGGCAGCGTCACACCTGAAAAGAAATGCCCGCGGTCTAGACCACCGTCGTATGCGGGCGGCGCCGTCATCGGTGCGGCCGTCGAACGACCAGACCGACCGGATCGACCCGAGCGTCCCGAACGACCGGAACGACCGGAACGCGCCGACCGACCAGATCGACCAGATCGCGGCGGCGACTCGCCGGTACTTCGCTCGCGGTCATCCACATGTGACTCGTTACACCACGCTCCGCCTACGCCAACCACATTACCAAGAAAGCCCAATGTTTGTGAGTATCTATAATTTTCTATACTCTCAGTGTCCCGTCGTACAGAAGTACATACAAAAATATGTGGAGCTACCTCATGTCTGAATTTAGCTAGCAGCTAGACAAGCTTTAAACTTCTCTGTATGACTGACGATGAAATGACTATATATGAAGAAGTACTAAAGTGACTGATATCGTCCAAAGAATTGACAGGTTGACGGGAAAGAAATATTTTTACCGTTCCAGCACAACACACAAGCAGCACCTTGTTATGGGGATAAAAAATTTAATGGTTTCTTAAAATCTAAAGTACATTTTACAATTATTAAGTTCGCCAAGTCACTGAATATATTTTATTCTTTATTGTACATACACGTACGAAAAATACAGTAATATAATACATGTAATGTACAAAGGCGAGCTTATATCTAAGAAAATATTTCTTCCAGCAAACCTATCAAAAGTTATAGGATAATGTGTTCACTAGATCAGGCCCACATACATTTTTGTTATGTTTTGTCACATAATTCCTATAAGGAATTCTCGATATAACAAATTGCATAAATATACATTAAAATGTTATGTTATTAAAATTTATAGATAACATCGGTAGTCTGAAGAAACGGGCAGCGCCGTTACCTCCAGCAGTGGCCCTAGCGCATCCCAGCGTACATCCGAATGTGCATCCAACGTCGCATCAGACCACACATCCGTCTTCACATCCGCGCTCTACGCCTTCACCCTCCGCCGATAGTGCGAGGTCGCTGCACGGTAATATTTAGATCTACTTAACTAATTTTTCGTTTTCACAAAATAGCTATTTATTCTATTTTATTGTAAAAACTACATGTGAGTATTACCGCGGCCTTATAATGTTATATTGTTATTATCGACTGCCTCCGTGATCTAAAGTACACCACTTTACTTTGGTCGCGGGTTCGATTCCTTGCACCGTACAAATATTTTTATTCATGAGTACGATTGTTTGTATTATATTGTTACATGAGTCTGGGTGTTTTCTATGTGTATAATATATTTACAAACATTATTTATATCCGTGTCTAGTACTCATACTACTACACTACACTATACTAGCTCTGTTTGGCTTGAGATTAGGTGGCGTTATATGAATTGACCAGGGTTATTATTATTTGTTTTATGATGTCCTCGGTATGTGTATAGGCGAATGTAACCATGTAGTATTTTATAGTAATCTTTTATATATAAAATTCATATGTCATAATGTTAGTTACATACTCTTCCGAAACGGCTTTACCTGTTTTTTATGAAATTTTATATGCTTATTCAATAGGTCTGATTATCCGCTACTATTTATTTAAGTGATAAGCATTATCCACTATTTATTTAAGTGATAAGCATTATCCACCCCTAATATTTATTATTTGACATTTTCTTTATTTTTTTATAATATGACATTAAAAAATACATACAACCCTAAATTTTACTCTTCTATCACTAACCCCTATTTTTTAATAGCGCTTTTAATTTATATGGCAAAACAAAGTTTGCGGGGTCAGCTAGTAATATATATGTGTAGTATATCGTGGTTTTATGGCAGTGTCGGGCGGCATAGTAAAGCACCGTCCACAGCAACCGCCGCCAACGCCGCCTCCGACGGGCGCCGTAGTAACCCCGGGGCCGGCCGCTGCTTTACATAACGGAGCATTACACAGGGACGAGCCCACGCCGCCGCCCAGAAAGGTATATCAATCAATTATCTTCACAGAAAACTAATCCTTATTACATACTAGCTGATGTTTTCAGTTGTTCAGACTCGTTATAGTGAAGTTCATAATGGAGGAATAGTTACTTTTCCTCTATAAGCGTTATTTTCGTATGAATGTTCTTCGTCATATTATTTGGGATCTTGAAATTCGACATGTATCGTAGGTCATTGATTTCGTGTTGAAGAGAAATCTTATACGAAAAGCTGAATGTTCTGACTTGTTCTAAATGAGTTAATGGATAAGGACGATATAGCTTTTTATTTCTGTAGAACTAATAGCCTTCATTTGATTGGAAAATTGTAGATTTGCACAACATTTGTGCAAATTCATTACAATATTTAAATAATTTAATTCCATGTTTTCATTCTTAAACAATTTAGCAACTAATATAAAAAACAAAGTACATAGTCATATTTGTTTTTGCTTCAGAAGAAAAATAGATTGCACCTGGAAAAAGCTGTGAAAACGAAACTGAGAAGGGTAACGACCTATGAGAGAGACAATTAGTGTACCTACTTACTCGCTTACCCTTGTTTGATTTATGCCCTACGATTAATATTTGTTTTACCCCTTGGGACTTTATGAATGTATTGTCAAGAGATGATATGAAAATTAAAGAATGGATGTAGACATAGAACATGGCATTTTAGAACGTTTAATTTTTGGGCAGTTTTATTTATAAATAGGTAACAAACGAAGAGATTTTTTAATAGTAAATCTTATTGTCTATAACACACTACACTAATATTCCTAATTGTAACAATTTGTTACAATTACATTCAGTGTTGCACAATTGCATTATTCTCACTCAGTGCTGCATTCACTTGCACATTTGCAATTAATTTTTATTACTACAGTACAAGTATAGTAATAATATTGTTATGTTAAGTGTTGATTGTTGTTTCTGAATTGCCATGTTACATACGTCTAATCGAATGATATGATACGCAATTGCGTAATGGGCCTGTTCGAAAATGACGTATCTGGAAATTATAAAAATACCGTTTAAATAAAAAGAATAAATATTAGGTATCAATGTGATCCAAATTTCTAATAAAAATGAAATTATTGGCAAATTAGGTGTACCTCTTGACAATTGGTTTCCATGCCGTAAATTATGCATTAATTACCTATTGTGCACAGTTTATGGAGCCACTTTGATCTGCATGTACTTAACAGCTTTTTGCTTACTTGTATTTTTTATTATCTAAAATTCCTATCGACATTATCCTTCCTTCGTGTAGAACAGTAGATTTCATATAAAAGTAGAAAATGGTAGAACTTTAAAAACCAGTACCTAACAACAAAAACATTATATTATAATCATCAATCAGCCATTATTTTTTTTTTTAAATAACTCGAGTTTTTGTGATACATTAACGTAACAGTTTGCATGAGTTTTAAACAAGATATTATATATGTAAATAACAATGAGCTGATACAAAATGATTTAAAATACTTTAATTAACTAGACTTTTAATATACTATTAATTTTAATGAAATCTTGCTTTTCTATATTACAACATCTTTATATATGTTAGGCATTTTTGTTTAATTTCTTCAAAATATAGAACACGCTGCGAGCTTTAATACGGCAACGTACAGCGTAGCTACTTGGTAGATTATAAATCAGTATTAGCATTATAATAATTATAATTTATATTTTACAGGAGTGTTCTAGTCAAGATTCGTCGCTGGAGTTGTGCGACATGTCGGACTCTTGTTTGGACGACAGCCGACTGCAGTTGTCGGATGGATCGCGGTCGCGCGAGAGATCGCGCCGTAGCGATAGTCGGTCTCTTGACGTGTCCGATACATCCAGTGTTCACTCTCGGTCGCCATCAGCTTCTATTACAATGGTGAACTATAAATTATAAATAATTGTCTTATGATTAGACTACACATTTACATTTAAAAATCTGATTAACGAGAAAGTAGATGTTCCAATTTTATACTTGTTGCCTTTTTCATTTCTCGGATCTTAGAGCAAAACTATTTTATAGAACTATATTTTTATGTGTGAACGGAGTGGCAAATAATCTAACGGGCCACGTAGTCAACTTTTTTAAAGTCTATTTCGGTGACATGTCACTCTGAACTAAAAGTATAATGAATTTTGACACTAATAATACAATAGTTTTAATATTTGTGATTAATTTAAAAATATTAATATTCTAAACATTATTTAATAAAATAGGCAATCTTTTGTTTGAGATAACATTGAATCATGATCAGACCAGAGATCAGATCAGAGAGTACATAGGTCTGATTTTTTATTCCTTTGAATTTTTTTTTCTGTATGAATCTGTTTGAGTGGATGGTTTGTTTAATGAAAAAAGATGCATTAATTTTTTAATTCTAATAATTACACAACATCACTCTTACAATCTGATGTTAGCATGTATTATTAGCATATCGGTCCATTGCGACAGCGCACCCGTGATGTAGGCGTGGCAAAGGACAACCGGGGTTTAAGTGAGTTAAAATCTCACAGTATTAGCCCGCACTCCCTCATAAAGGGAGACGATTCTACATGCATTTAGTTTTTTCTAATCTTAAAATATTGAAACAGTTACAGTTATTTCAAAATATTCTTTTACAGATGGGCGGTCTAAGACGATGTCGAGCACTTTATGATTGCTCAGCCGACAACGAGGACGAGCTATCATTCCGCGAAGGCGAAGTCATTGTAGTCATCAACGACCGCACAGAGGACGACAACTGGATGGAGGGCCAGGTTGAAGGTACCGGTCGTCGTGGGATGTTCCCAGTATCGTTTGTACATATGCTACCAGACTAGGACGAAGTAATAACGTTATTATAACCACGACAGCAAGGAAGCTAGGTCAGTAACCAGTGTTCAAAAACCATTAGGTATTCTCTATAACAATCATTCGTTATGTATAGTGGTCGCACCTCTGCTAGTAGCGGTACCAGCTGACTATTGTTGATTGTAGAGATTGTATCAAGTTTATCAATGAGGAGTTTTAATGTTAGAAGTAAGTCGACCTGACTGTAATTAATAACTCTTGTCACATTTTCTATTTCATTATTTTCTACTATGTTTAACAATCACTCAAAAAATACTTTTGAAATATTTTAATAATGATATTTAATATATATTTCAATAATATCTGTAAAATTTCATAGTTGCATAAATGATTGAATATTCAGTATTTTATATTGTATGCGTTTTTCACGCTATCCTTTAACGTTAATTTGGCCTAAATTTATCTGCTTTTGTTCAGGAGGCTATGAGCTTATTTATTCTAGTATTTTGTACACATCATTTACTGTTAAAAATGATTCTGTTTACACGCACTTCGATCATACAGCTGTTTTTCGATTAGTCATTAATCATAAGACTATTTAGGGTTATCGTTGTGAGCTCACGTGCATGATTGAACTAAGTGTATCATATCGAGGAGATAATATGCAATGTGATGTGATAAGACAACACCACAAATAACTCATGTTTATCTGTTTTTATACAGAATATTTAATACTCATACATTTTAAAGGATCCTCTTTTGTATTTAATTATATTGAGATATTTAAAAAATCTAAATTAATATAAATTGCCTTTTAATAAAAGCATAGATCAATATTAGTATACAAGTAATGACTCTGCTTATTGCAATATTGATTTTTTTGTGATAAATAACTCGTTCATACGGAGAGTTTTAATTGTGTATGAGAGATTTAAAGAGATTTTGGCTGAAAATATACGATTGTATAGTAATGTAATGAGTTTATAAATATTAGCTAATGTGTTCAAAATCGCTTATCCTTTTCTGAAATTTCACAAGATACGTAACGGTATTACTGCAGTATTTGCATGTTTTTTAAAGGATTAATCGTAAATAAAATTATTTCTTATCAATCAGTCACGATTGGTGATTGGAAACAGTGTAGAGTACATGTTGGCAGTAGCAAATTTATTTCTGTTGGTTATTTAAACTAACAGAAATTACTATATTATAAATATTATAGTAGTTTTAATAACCAACAGAACTATTTTCAATTTAATTAAAAGATCGGTTACATTCTTGAACTATGTCAAAAATATGATTAAATTGAATATAGTAGGTGCGTCTGTCTACTGATAAGAGTTGTATATTATTCTATTGCTGGATTTCAGATTGACGTAATGTTCTTTATACTATATATGAAAGATTATACAAAAACTCTATAACAATAAATAAGTCGAGTAATTAAGTTAACTAATAACTATCTCCGTGTAAACGAGGTTTTATAATGAGCAATTTTAGCAGTAGTAATACTGAAAAATAACACCAATATATACAACATACGCCAGTAGCGAGTCCGTCCTGAAGCGGATATTTACTTGAATTGTGAACTATTTAAATTTGCCTCTATATTTTTCTTTTATAAAATGTATCTTTTGTGCGAACGTGAATGTGTTCTTTATATTAATCGTTTAAAAATATGGTCATAGAAATATAATTATAAATCCTTAGATATTATGTATCTATTTGCTATTTAATAAATGTTATTAAGGTATATGTATTATGTTACTGTTGCAGATAGTATTCAAATTAAGTCAAAACAGAAATAACACTGGCTAATTTTTTTACAGGACAACGAAATGTATTATCTATATTATTATTAATAATACAACATTATTATTTATTATAAAACTACTGAGATGTGTCCGTAAATATTAAAAAAATGTATTAAATTAATATAAATAATCTAGTTGTAATTTTCTGTATAGAAGGATTGTTGTATAGAGCCATTGTTATATTGTAATTGTAGAGTCATATTAATATATATCAGACATACTATAAGCATGACTGTAAAATCTCTACAAATAATGCGACATATAATTGCAATGTAACCTAGGTACGTCTATGTGATATTTTTACATCGATATACCGAGGTAGACTTTTACAGTCTTCTCCGCGGACACCTCTGTTATGCCAATTTCAACTGTAAATGAGTTCGTTTTTAAGCTGTATTTCGATTGAAGGGTAAGACAGTGAAATTACAGGGTATGGAGGCATGACACCTTATTCCTCCAGAATGGTAACGCATGAGTGGTACCACGAGCGTCACATGATGTGATCTCCGTGGTCCTGTTCATAATATATAGGCGAGAGTTGCCATTTAAGATTAGGTGGACGTCAGCTTGTTTACCGTTCTAATTACTTAAAAAAATGTGGCCAATCGTTCACAGTCTTATAAACTGTATTGTGACAACATGAGATTAATCACTGTAAAGATATCACAATGTACGTACCTAACTGGCATAGTATTTGTACAGCTCAGGTTATAGCGATTTGCCAAATATATATGTGATCAGTAGTGGAAGGAAAAATATCAGCGACAAACTCTATCGGACCAGTGACTGTTTGTTGTCTAGTTTGTTCTCGTAGACTATATTGACGTGTCTTAGATTGTTGGTGCATGCTGTCTTTAGAAATTTTCGGTGATCGAGATCAGTGAACAAACATAGTTTCGTTGATGTTATTATTAATACTGTTATATGAACTATGTCCAGATATCTTCATCAGATTCTTGTACTTTTTATTTAATCTTTAGGATTTCCCTAAAATTGTGCAAATGATTTTTAGATGTCATGGACAACATTGTATATATTAAATATCTCTTTATGTTACATGTCAATGATTATTGTTATGTCTAAGCATAACATTAAATACTTATCATAATATTTAACCTTTATCCTACACTATTTAAAGTAATTTTGTATTGTGTCCTATTTTTTATAATCATATGACCTATTATTTGTGATAGATTCTCAATTAATGACCATCACTTAAAAAGGATCCCACTAAACCCAACATTAGTTTATCACACAGGCTATAGTAATTTAAAGTAGGTCTGTTCTAATTTCATTTTAGGGAACTAATAAGTAAATTTCGTATTTTTTTTATTATCCGCCTGTGTTCATCCAAATGGATAAGGTATTTTATTAGTATTAAAAATATGTATTACGTTTTATAAATTTAATATTAATTTACTACCTATAATTACGAAAAGTTAGTTTCATTACTTAGGGAAAACTTGCAAAATTTGTCAAAATTTTAACATCTTCATATTCCAAATTTGCAAAAAATATTACTGTAACTTTTATGAAAATAGCAGTGAAATTAAATGTAATCTTCTGCTTAATTATAAAACTTAATTATAAAACGTCTGTATTATTAAATTTCAATGCAAACTAGTGTTTGATCTACGATCTCTATCAACATACAGATCTTTGATACTTGTTGTTACATGTTGAATTCTAGAACACTTCATAGACTAAATATCATTGATATAATATTATTATTATTGTAGAATTATTCATAGCCATTGGTCAAGAATAATAATTGTAACTCATAGATATAACTATTACTGAATACATATATTTATTTACTCTACTACTACACATTCCCATTGTAATTAGTTGTCTATATATTAGTTTATTTAGTCGATTTTGACTTTTTGCAGTCGGCATATGTTGATTTTATCAAGCTTTGTACTCTGTAGCCGAGTTAGACATTTAATATATATACGTACATGGCCGTACCCAGCTTTCTTACCCAGAGGAGAGGTAAACGATCAAGACCACTCTAGTTCGATTCTGGCATAGGGTGGGAGGTATGGGAGAGTCACATCTTTCGCATACAATATTCAGGGTGTATGCAGTACCCGTGGAGGGTCAAGATATCTGCCCAGATATCTTGACTCTCCACGGGTACGGCATGTACTATCCCCTGTTTTATAGTTCATAACTAATACCTAAACATTATAATTATAGTTACCTACATAACTGCGCGCGTTGCCATAAATTAGTATTATTCGAGAATTAATGTGTTGAATTTCATTTTTTTTTTATTTCACACGTTTCGATATTACCAGAAAAACATGTCTAATTATATTTTCATATAAGAGTTATGATTGATATGGGTCTTCGTGTTTAGCACATTTAAATGTATTACTTTATAGAATTATGTAAGTGTTTTATGTAATTAGTAAAAATGTGATTAATTTGAAATGCCATGTTATAATTCTGCATGTAATATTGCTAACACTACTGTAAATAGATATTACAGCATTGTGCATAGGGATTAGTATCTAGGTTTTTAATTTATTATGTTAACGTTGAAGTATTTCCTAGGAAGATATTACGGCAGATTACAATTTAGTTTTCCAAACTCTATAGATACATAAATAACATATTTATTTAATAATAATAATATATTGTGAAAATCTATTTGTGATGAAATATTTTAATGCCATTTTAGCCTGTCAGTATGTTACTTATTAAAAAGTTGTGTAACCAAATGATGCTATAGAGCGTAAGATGTTTTATTCTTTATGTAGTTTACATAGTTTTTTCTATTGTGTATTATTGTATGTCAATGAAAATCTGTATGAATTTATGAATACATCACTTTGATGTCTAGTGTGTTTTGTTTTTATTTATATTGTTATATGAGCTTCCTATCCCACCGCCTCAGCGTTGCCCGGGTATTTTACTTACTTTAACTAATTATATATCTAAAACTTACTCAGGAACCTCACGAAAGTTCAGTAGTTTTTGAGATAATCGCCAACATGTACACGGACGCTGAGGTAACTATGTTTTATAATGTATGCGTATAGACTTTATTTCTAAATAGGTGTCCAGTATTGGCGGATATTAATCTCTTTCGAAGATAAATGTCTAAGTACAAGGAGGAATTTGTACCGTCAGCTTTTTGCACATCAAAGTAAAACCTTTTATTTATTAAAATTACTTTATTGACAAAGGACATGATACCTACTAAAGGCAAACGTAAGACGTATGACTAGAAGCATTCTAATAGTTTTTGTACGGAATCTGGTAAAATTACTGTCGATATATATGGCACTGTATTTACAAGTGTGAATGGATTAAAAAATTAAGTTTGTTCACATTTGTGTTCTATTATCGTTTGTCGTATGAATGTACATGTGATAGAAAACTGACAGACTGACAGCGCGTACTCAGACTGTCTTATCAGGTTTATACAGAGAAATGTATTTTTGTGGTTTATACTCGACACATTGTAGTAAGATATATATGATAGTTGATAATTTGTATTTGTTAGAAAAAAATGAATTTTTCATTAAAGTTATAAAATCAAAGTTAGTTTGAATATTGCATTAGCAATATTTAAACTAACTTTGATTTTATGTAATATATTAATATTACATTATTTACCCCTATATAAATCACATTTAGGTAAATTACGTTTTTATCATCTGTCACCCGTAACTTACTACAATGTTCAAAGTAAAAATAGACATATCAGTGCGTGATAACAGCCGGTTGTTCAGGGTCGCCAATCGTTCAAAGTACAAAAATTAATAATAAACAAACATCAAGCAACAGGCAAAAAAATAAGTTTATATTTTAATTTGTTGAGATTGCGATTGTGAACATGATTCCGCGTAAGAGGGTTCTGGATTTGTTGAGGACTATCAACTCGGCTAAGTAATTATATTATTATTTTTCTTATTTTAATATATGAAATGTACTTTATTCAATAAAATGCATTTATACTGCATACATTTTTATTGTTCTTCAGAGTATGTTGCGGCTGTCCTACTCTTTTTAGTTATTTTTATGAAGTTCCTATGATATTAAAAGTAATTATCTTTATCTCTGTGTTACATTTATTATTTATCTCCAAGACACACTTCATATAATCAGTTTCTTTACATCATGTGATCCCATTAGTAAAGAAAAATAATAAGTTTTTCAAGTAGGTATATGAATAGACGGTATTTTTTCAAAAATTTTCATTGTTCAAATAATATAATATTATATTATATTTTTTTTTTCCAAAATAAATTGTACCTTGAAAATTAACTTTACAATTTAAGTACTTGTTAACTATTAAAATTACAACTATAAAATGTATTAATTTTATAGAAGATCCATAATTGCAAATTTTGATCACTTCACATAGTACAATGTTTGCTTTTAGCTGCCAGTGTCCAGCACATGGCCACAGAGGGAATATTCAGGTGTCCAATGCTACACCATTGAAAGATTATGCTTTTGAGGTAAGTATATAGGTTACCTATATTTATTATTTTAAATTACACCAAGTAATAGGAATGCATATTATAAAAAAAATTATATAGTTATGCAGTAATAACATATTTATTCTACAATGTTATTTAAAGTAGTAGTAAGTAGTTGATAAATAAATATGTTGTAAGCCTATTAAAAGAATTAATTAAATGTGCCATAAAATTAATATCAATAAATATCATAAAATCAAATCATCTGACCCAAGCCTGCTGATTTGTGATATGCATTATATATCCATATATAACATATGGATATATAATGCATATCATAAATCAGCAGGTCTATTCTGAAAACTAACTCCAGTCAAAAGACAGTGGAATTCAATCTGACAAAATCTGGCAAAATTAACCACAGTGATTTCTAGGGGGCCCATAAAATATTCATTGCTGGCCACTTAAGGCCTCTTATCTCCATTACTAATAATCTTCCATGACTCTTGTCAATGGTGATTGTTGAAAATAATCTATATTATTTTCAGATAAAATGTTCAACTGTGAGATATGGTTTGGGTGTGACCAGGGAGGTGGGTCTAGACCTTGTGAATCTTGGAGCGAAGAATGTCTGTGTTATGACAGATCCCAATCTAGTGTCATTGAACCCAGTGAAGGCTGTTCTGAACTCTCTCACTAAGAATGGTATAAACTATAAGGTTTATGATAAAGTCAGAGTAGAACCAACAGATTCAAGGTAATCAAACAAATTTTATAGTGTACCATCTCTGTACATACATATATAACATTGTTTCTAATATATGTCTATACTAATTCATACCAATAGTATAAACATGAAAATGTGTCAGTCTATTTGTTATCTTTTCATGACTAAATGGCTCTTAATTAAATTTAATGTGAAAATGTATTGTATCATTAAGATGAAGGCTGTAGGTTAGAACTATAGACTACTAGTATCACACTGCTAGAGCTATTTTATCTAAAAAAAGGGGGTGACGTTTGAAGAGCTTGGCTGGCTACTGTAGTAGTTTTGGCTCTACACACACAATGACCCAGAAGAGAGGCTGATTGCAGAAAATAGATTCCAATTTACTTTACATTACATTACAACGAGGTGAAGTAGCGGAGGTAATAGCTAGCATATAAATAAGTTATAGTGCACAATATTGCAAATAGTTGCAATATTGTGCACTATAACTTATTTATATGCTATTAGGTATTTTAAACACTATACTTTTGAACAGAAAAAAATACTGGATGTTTTAATATTGAGTAATTAACTAAGTTGACATTATAATCTTGAAATTTAAATTATAATCCTTAGTATAGACTAAGGATTATAATTTAAATTTCAAGTATGACTAAGTTGACGCTATTAAATGTCAACTTAGTTAATTACTCAATATTAAAACATCCAGTATTTTTTTCTGTTCAAAAGTATAGTGTTTAAAATACCTAATGCTAAAAGAGCTTAGAGGAACTAAGAGAACCTTCATTAAATGTTCAAGTATTGAAGGTATTGTGTATATAGGGTTCTTAAAAAACGTTTACAATTAATATATTATAATGTTTCCATAGCTTTAAAGATGCAACACAGTTTGTCAAAAATGGCCAGTTCGACAGTTTTGTGGCTGTTGGTGGAGGCTCAGTTATGGATACTTGCAAGGCTGCTAATTTATACTCCAGTGATCCAGACGCTGACTTCTTAGATTATGTTAATGCACCTGTAGGTAAAGGAAAGCCCGTTGAAGTCACCTTGAAGCCAATGATTGCAAGTAAGTTTAATAGTTTATTATTATTTATACCAAATTATTAGTAGACTTTCTACAAAGTTATTTGCCTAGGCACCTCTCTTATATTTTTCAGCTGTGAGATGTGGTAGGGAATTAAATTTGTATGCTGACAGATATATAGATAGAGTGATAGAGTGACAACGCATGAGGTGCCATGGGGCTCACTAGATGACGGATTGACTGGATGACGAATTGATATATGCGGTGCTGATTTTATATAAACGAAATTTCCCATTTAGCATTTGGCAGGTCGTCAACTTGTTGTATTTACTGTACTGGGAACCGCAACAATCGATTTATCCACATTATGTATTATAATTATATATGTATGAATCTGTTTTTACCCTTCATATTTCCATGATGGGATAATGTTTAATACTCATTGAAATACATCGTGTATTTCAGTTCCAACTACAAGTGGAACTGGAAGTGAAACGACCGGTGCGGCAATATTCGACTTTGAGGACATTCATACAAAGACTGGTATCTCGCACGGAGCTTTGCGCCCTCTCCTAGCTATTATAGATCCGCTTCACACCCTAAGTCTGCCAGAGAAGGTGTCAAATTACGCGGGCTTTGACATATTTTGCCACGCTTTGGAGAGTTTCACTGCTATCCCGTATACGGAGAGGGGGCCAGCACCGGCGAATCCAGCGTTGAGACCAGCGTATCAAGGAAGCAATCCAATATCGGATGTATGGGCGCGATTTTGTTTACAGGTATGTAATAGTGTGGCAAACTTGGGCCAGTGCTCAACATAAATCTGCAGATTTTGCTAATCTGAAGAGGAAACGCCATTACAAATTCTATGTAATTTTAGTCCACTCATGAATATACGAAATATCTCCTTTGTAAACTATACACTTTATCTTGATGAAAACCGGTTGGTTTTAAGAATATCCTTTAAGTCCTGTCCCTGACGGGAGTATCTTTGAAAAAGGGCAAGCATAATATATATATGTAGAACGGAGTGCTACAGATCTAAAGCACCTGACAATAGACCAAACCCTTCCATAAAATGTATTGAAATTACGACGCCCTGAGCCGAGGTCCGAACCCCTAGTGGTACCCTCAGATTAAAGTTGTATCCGTCAGGCGGTAGGTGCCTGCGGCCTTCAGCCGCCCCGTAAGTCCTTCCAGGGTTTGGAGTGCCATCTACACTCGCCCCCTACTCCGTATTGTCCGGTGAAGCTGTAAATGCGAGCTGCGGCAGACAGCATTAGAGTAGTCCGAAAAAAAACGATTGGTTAGAGCGCTCATCAGCACGTACGCACAAGTCTAACAAATATCTTGATATTTGCAGACACTTCAGAAGTACTTCACCCGCGCAGTATATAACGCTGATGACATCGAAGCACGGTCATACATGCATTTAGCGGCCACCATGGCCGGCGTGGGTATTGGAAATGCCGGCGTCCACTTGTGTCATGGACTCGCTTATCCCATTGCTGGAAATGTTAAAACCTTCGTGCCTCAGGACTATGGGTATTTATTAACTAATTTGTTTATTTGAGCTATATTACTGTATTATAGTAATTTGTATATATAGCAAAGCAGTAGTTTGTTCATGACTAGCTTGAATAATAAAAGCATTGCAAGCATGAATTACATTCATAAATGAAGTTTGAATTTGACAGTTGTAGTTAGAAATTATCTAATTATATATATTGAGTTAGGATCTATAGTGTAAAATTTGAGAGATCGTGACAGCCCCTCCTAATGCTTTTTCTATAGTTATCAACTGATATCAGCTTGTTGTCATTGTAATCATCATTACAACAACAAAAAGCTTTGGTGGTGTAGCAGTTTAGCACACAGCCTTAGTCTCATTTCTCACACAGTACAAACATTTGTATGCATGACTATGATTTTTTGTATTGGCCTGGGTGTTTTCTGTGTATATTATGATTAATTAGAAAAAAAGTGTTCAAGTATTTCTATCAGTTGTGTAGTGCCAATAATACAAGCTCTACTAGCTAAGCTTTAGATAGCTCTGTGTGAATTGTCCTGAGTTTTCTTTATATTACATAGCTGGCAAACAAGCATATTATAAAGATATCGGGTATAAACAGCATTTAGACTGTACCAGTCTATTGTCACACAGACTAGGCAATTTATACTTAGAAATTAAAAAATATAAAGCACTGAAATTGAATGTACATGTGAAATGATTTATGTATTAATGTGTGCAATATTGTTATATTTTTTTTATACTACGATGGTGGCAATCAAGCATACGTCCCATCTGATGGTAAATGATTACCGTAACCTATGAACGCCCGAAACACCAGGGATATCACGTGCGCGTTGCCAACCCTTAAGAAACCTTAATATACCCTTCTTGAAAAACCCTATAAGCTAATTAAGCCAGTACTTATATGCAATATTATTATACACAAAATTAAGCAATTACACTATTTGTTCTGCAGTAAAGACCCGATCATACCGCACGGACTTTCAGTAGTAATGACAGCGCCTGCTGTTTTTCGGTATACTGCGTCCAGTGATCTAGACAAGCATTTAGAAGCAGCTAACCTATTAGGTGCCGATATTACTGGCAAGAAAAAAGCAGACGCCGGCCAAATATTGTCCGATACCATAATAAAATATATGGACGCTATGAAAATTGAAAATGGATTATCTAGCCTTGGATACACTTCAGATGATATTCCAAAATTGGTCAAAGGCGCTCTTCCTCAGGTACTGTACTTTAAATTTAATATAGTATAATACACAACTGTTTATGGCATAGGTGGAAATAATCGCCTACCCAAGGCTGTGACCACTAAATGTTCTATTATTGTACTCAAGTTGTCTATGATTTTTAAATGCTAAGACTATTGTAGCATACCATGAGAGACAGAGACTAGAGGCTGATATTCCAAAATAATTTCTTACCTCTACAGTTTAAAATTCCTTCGAATATTGATTCACCTTCAACATTAATTTATTTAAAGAGAATTACAGTATTAACAAAACAAATCAGTATCATCATAATAATAATCATAATTATTTATATTCTTTAGGGGATTTTCTTGATGATCTTGATGGCTTAGCTGTTTAGCACACCGTTTTTCTTCCGATGGTCGCGGGTTCGTGTTCTCACACCATTGCATGCATTTGTACTCATGAGTATAACAAAACATGCAGTATATTCCTTTAAATTAAAATGATTTATATATAATATTTTATTTGCAGCAACGTTTATTGAAAATGTCGCCATTGGAGCAATCAGAGGAAGATCTGTCTAAAATGTTAGAAGGCTCTTTGACTATCTTCTAAATGGTTTCACAGCTTGGAAATCAGTAGAAATTCCATTCAACTGAATGAATGATTAATTTTTTTATGAACAATCGAATTTTATTATTATGATCTATTTTTTGTACTAAGTTAATATTTGAACATTTTATACGTAATGTAAGTATATGGATATCTTTATATTAACGTGCCATAGTTAATTACTATTCAATAAAAAATATACATAATACCATAATAAATAATATTTTTATTATTATATATTACTATATTATTATATAACATATAATAAAAAATATTTATGTATATTTTTATATTAATTTATGCTAGAGTCCAGTATGAACATAGATTATAGGACTTTACAAGCTAGTTAGGCTAATTAGACAGAACAGAGTAGCTAGCCTAGAGTCTACAGCCTTATATGTATTTATATTTACTTTATTTTATTTGAAATTACGTTGTTACATTTTGTGCAAATAATCTGCCTTGATCGAAATGTTTTTTATGTCATATATTTTCTTTGGTGTATTATGCTCGACCTAAATAATGTAACATTAATGGAGATTACGATCGAAGATTTAAAATAATATATCATTCTTTGTAATTACAATAATATATATTTTGATATTTTACTGTTATTTCTTATATACTTTATTGTTGTTATTGTGTAAAATAGTTTATCATAATAAATAAATATTTTTTTAATGGAAATAAATATATTTTATATTGAATTGTTTTAATAATTTCCTGATTGTGTACTCACAAATATAAGAGGCAAAGTTACAATAGTCGGACCACAAAGATAAAATAAAAAAGCGATGTAGGGTTTAATTTTTATTATTTTTAAGTACATAAAATAAACCTATCAACTAATTTGTATAATATATAGTAATATGTATATCTTAAATTAATTTGTTGAATTTGACTTGTTACTTTTTAGATGCGCTAGTTACGAATATTGGTCGACATTGTTCGAAAATGATCGTTGAAGGCACTGTATTTAAAAAACATTTCAACTTTTTGTTTATGACTAGCGCTTATTTCGATCACGTACTGCTCATGTATGAAATAAGGCAGTTGTTAGTTTTCTTTAAACACTAATTGGATGTTTTGTACCACACGGCTCAAACTGCTTCGGGCACAATATTGCTGTGATGGAAAGGACTACTCTCATACGACATGTTGGAAGCATTAACGGTGACATTGTGTAGGGGAGCATAGCGGTTCAGTTTAGGCGTCGCTGGACCCGTCAGATCTTCTGACAGTTGTTGGTATACTAGACCGCAGTCCTTCTTCGTACGACCCGGTTGTGTCATGGCAGCAATTATGGCACTGTTATATCTCATCTGCTTCGTTCTCTTCTTGCATAAGACCATCACAACCTTTGCGATAACGATGAGGAGTATTAGAACACAGAGGATAGATATCAGCATTGGCCACAGGTAATCGTAATGGCCGTGGTCGTTAATAACACTTGCCTGCTTGTATGTTTCTGGCGCTAAGTCATCATACACATCATTTTCTAGCAGTTTGATATTAATCTTAATCTTTTCCTTTTCTGTTGTTTCTATGGCAGCCTTAGATAAGGTCGGTTTTACTGTGGATTCTTTTTCGAACAGTTTCACCTTGATGTCGACATCGTCGTACTCCTCTTCAGAATTCTCGTCACCCTCCTCATCGCCATCTGTGTCTTCATCTCCATCATCTTCATCAGCATCATCTTCATCATCATCGTCATCATTATTGTTAACATCCTCATCATCAATGTTCTTGTCAGCGCTGAGTTTGTTTTTAGTCTCATCTTCGGCTAACGAAATATCGCCTAAACTATTTTTCAAATCGAAATCATCTACATCGTCTTTGTTGATTCGTTCCCATATTTCTTCATCAGAGATAGCGGGCAAAGGTTCTACTGCATGCAGGAAGTTAGCATTACTGCATGTCTTGCGCGAGAGGAATTCCCAGCTATACGTGGTGTCATCATCCTTGTCATTAGCGTCGCCCAAATTAGCCACGCTAGCTTTGTTAGAGCTAGGCGATACATTGTGTTTACTTAACCAAATCATTAGATTTTCGAATTCGTGACTGCAAGTTAGTGGATTATTAGTGACATCTAGAGTACGTAACTTTTCAAAACTAACAATTTCAGATTCTTTTAATTCACTAATTCTGTTGTGAGAAATGTTTAAGAAATTGAGGTTGCTCAGAAGTTCTTTTGGAAGGTTTTTATCTTCTTTCCAAAGAGTTGTTAAGTCAGCATTACTAATATCAAGTAAAGTTAAAGATGGAGTCTTGACAAATACTTCTGCTGAAAGAACTTTTAACGGATTGCCTTGAAGATATAGTTTACTGAGTTCTTCATTGTTTTGGAATATTTTAACATCTAGAAACCAGAGCATATTGTACGCTAGGTTGATTTCTACCAATTTGGGACAGAAAGAGAATACTTTGTTGCTTAGCGACTGGATTTTGTTTCCAGATAAGTTAACTGTAGTTAAAGCCGTGAAAGTCATTAGAGAATTATTATGAATCTCCTCAAGACCACAATTTGAGGCATCAAAAGCATAAATATTGAATTGGTCTGCAGAACAATTAAAACCATCTTTGGGTAATTGTTTCAGTTTTGGATTGTTAGAAATTTTAAATACATCTAATTCGATGTTTTCTTTAATAAGAACGTTAGAAATAAATGTAAGATTATTATAAGAGAGGTCAAGATAGTTCAACTCGACTAACTTGTGGAAGGCTTGATTATGAATTTTTTCAATATTATTGCCACTAAGGTTAAGATTAGCAATGTATTTCATTCCATTAAACATAGATGGTCCAATAAATTTCATATTCGTTTGTCCTGCAGTGAGAGTTAATAGTTCCGACATTAGTAAGCCGTAAACTGAATCGATTGGATTTCTGTCGATATGGAGAGTAGCAAGCTCAGTGTTTTCTGAGAATATATAATCAGGAAGCGACTTGATAATATTGTCGCTTAGATCGATTTCTTCTAAATCTAAAAGCTTCTTGAATGTATCAGCATCCATTCCAGACAACTGATTCTTAGACAAGTCTAAATACATAAGCCCAGGCATGCTTTGGAACGTATTAGCGCTTATATACTGTATATTGCAATTAGATAGAATAAGCTCTTGGACGGTCGATGCATTTAAGAAATAATCAGTGGAACCAGTAGGAGGAAGTTTTAGTGGATTACTAGAAAGTGTCAAGAGTAATAACTTCTTATTTTCAACAAAAGTATTAGGGTGTAACCTCTTAAGTTGATTATTAGACAGAGTTAGCGCGTATAATTCCTCTAGACCACGGAAAGCGCCAGGGTCAACAGACTCGATGGTGCTATTTACAATTTTTATGGTTGCAACTTGGTGAAGACCTAGATTTTTGAAAATTTGTTCTGTGAGAACAATGGGGTATTCTGCATTTTCGACTACAAGATCTGTGATGTCATTGCCGAATTTCTGAGTCCCGATTTCGAGACGATTACACTTAGCTATTCTATATCCTTGGGATACAGTGCATAAGCAGTCTCTGGGGCAGGGTTTGTCCTCATTAAAGAGAACTTCCTGTTCTTGACCGGCATCATAGTCTTCGTACTGTTCTATGAAATCATCAGACTCAATTTTTTTATTGCCTGCCGCCGTCTTATTTACTGAATCTCCAAGCGCAAGTGCGCATACTGCCAGGAGCAGAATCAACTCCCGGGACCTCGCCCCCATGTCTTGTTATAGTGAACTCTGTAAAGATAGAAAAAAAAATTTCAGTACATCAAGTAGGTATAAGTACGTAGGTATAAATCACGATTATCTAGACAATATGAACAGTTTCTATTCAAATAACAGTAGAATCAAACAATAGGAAAATACTTTTTTTTTCTTTTGGAAAAATTGCGTTAGGTGAGTTAACAATAGGTCATAATGTATTGCGTTTTAATTCGTAATAAGTAGCATTGTTCAGAAACAGTTTGTTTACCGTTACAGATTGAACGAGGAATAACGTGGGTGGAGGCGAACGTAGTAAATCTTCTAAAACATAAAAGAAGGTGATTGTTAGACAGATACCGACATACAGACCGATCTCAAGAACACCAAACGACATAAAAACTTATGTATACTACAGCTTCGTAATCAGAAACGAGCAAATAACTTCTATTTCTAACGTTACAGCATTTTTAAGATGTTAGTTAATTCTGTCTTCACAACTTATATTCGTTAAGGGTAATCATTACGAGGCAAAGTTTGAGTTTAAATGTTCGGAGTAATCTTTGGTACTATTAATCCGATTTTGGAAATCCTTTTAGACTTGGCAGCCAATTTATTGAGGAAGGCTTTAAGCCATATGTATATATAACATCGAGCAACGTCTAATAGGAGTGGAGTTGATGAAAAAGGTTTCAAGAATGGGGACAACTTGACGCAGGTAGAAGTTGCGCGGATACCTAGTATATAGCTAGCTCGCTAGTATATGATTCATAGGATTGTAATGACTTGATGACCAAAAATCTGTTGTATTTTATGTAACCGTATATGATATATTAGATCATAAAATGTTGCAATTTCTGTTATGTTTATTTATAACTGAGTTGTATTGGCTAACTCAGACCCTGACCACAAGAAACTAATGTTTTTAAAACTAATAGTTTTCTGTGACATTTCGTTACCCATAAAATTTATTATGGGTAACTAAATGTTACAGAAAACTACCAGAAATTTAAAGCTAAGAACACATGTTTTTATGATAATATATACAGACATGAGAAAAAATAATCAATTCCACCTTAAAATATCAGATGATTTTGGGCATGTATTTTCGATGAAATAAAACAAAATCTGTAATATAATGATATAACGTTTTTTACGAGTAACTACAATAACAATTTGAAAACTTTTCTTAGAGCTGATATGATTTGCACTTTTTTTTATTTAAATAAATAGATACGATAGCCTTTGTGTATGAACGTAGGTACACCTTTGACGTAAAGGAAAATAAAAAGAATATATTTGCATTCCTATTGCTAATGTATGTTTCTTGATCATATTTGTCAATGGTAATGGCCTGCCTAAAATACAAATTTCCTTCAAGTTCATTTAAAACTAATGTCATACCAGGTTTTATTTGCACGTTAACACACAGTGTCAACTTTGTCGGTGTTACAACGACCAATGTTAGTTTTTCTAATATGTTATTATCGTGACCGTTTTCATATAAAATTCCGTGTTTACAATACAATACAAATAGTACAGTAAGTTGTCTGTTAAGAATCATAAAATCATGCATGCAATCATTAAAGACTTGTTCTTTGAGTATCTGATTAAAGTCGTTAAACGTCTATGGTGAACGCAACAACTGTGTGATATATGAATGTATGTTTATTAAATATTAACAGTATATTATTTTGCATGAGTTCGATATTATGAGAATATAAAGATGAGAGCATTAAATAATGTTAATTTTATTTAGTATAAGTGTATAGATATCCTAGTAAGATTGTAGCAGGTATATAAATATTAGTAGATAATTTTAAACCACAATGCGTTTGATTGGACAATGCATTTGAAATTTATGATGGAAAGTTGTACCTATGTACTTTCACATCGGTCACAACAATAAGGCACGTTATAGGGTGTTGTCTACAGCGACACCGATTAGGGTTGCCAAAACGACTTGTATTAGATATAGTTATTGTAAGATTTATTAGGAAGATCCCGAAATAACTCAAATGAAATACGATTTCAAGTCATTACTTTGAATTCAACATTAGTTCTCATTTTCTGAAAATAATTGGCAAACATATCGCGTAACATACAGCCGCAGGAGCACAAAATGCAGGAGAATTATGAATGTGCACTTTATCTGATAGAATTATCAATAAAAAGTGGTATTTTATTGCCCTAAGTTGGATTTGTTCTACAAATAAACAACTACATATATCATGATAAAAAGAATAGCTATGTATATAGAATAATAACATAGTAGCATATGTTACAAACGGCACTCAATATATTTTCGATATTCACCTTTGCATACTTGGTAATTTGTTAAATATACATCTCAAAGAAAGAAATAATATCAAGTCTATTGATTTTCTCTTCCGGTTAAAACTAAGATTCGTTGTTAAACTGTACTTAAATTTTATTAACAACTTGACATGGGCTGGTCTGCGACGTAGAGTCGTCGGTGTCAGCAACAAACCGGTATTTTGCAACAGCTACATGCACTTAGCGTTGTGCTCGGGTTTGAATTGCCGCTACAAATGAAATTTTAAGAGAGTGAAAATTAATAAGTCTCGCTAACATTATACATATGTATATGATAATTAAAAGTAAAAATATTAATTAACTATTAGGCATCGAGACACTTTCACTAAGAAATAAAGTTGAAAACTGGAAATAAAAATGTAAAAATATCCATCCGTGCGAAGCCGGGACGGGCCGCTAGTATCAATATAAAACAAAGCCATTGTGTTTACTTAAACTTCAGTGTCACAGAAAGTCTAAAATCGAGAAATAATACTTCATGCAACTAAAGTACTTTCTCCGAGGGTCATAAGGGTGGTTTATGTACTAATTTATTTCTATAATTTTTTATTAATTAGCTAATATATGAGTCTCTTGTCTCTACAATTCAATCTTGGGACGAAATAAAAAATGATAGCTGTGGGAATTTATTTATACCAAAGTACTATACATATAATACTAGACTAAAGACAGATACGATGGCGGACTTGGTGATAACAATAAATATTTGAGATGATTAGTAAGTAATTCTTGAATGCGGTAGTTATTTGTTAAACAAAGTAAATATGCGATTGTATTAAACAATGAATACAAATAAAGATAATGCATAAGCACACATATATTAACATTATGTCTAATGTGTATTAACAGATAATAAAGAACATAATATTAAATATATCTAGTTATATATAACTTTATATATGAACGTACGTCTGCCCACGTTCATTAGACTTAGGCCTCTTCTCTACAACACCATGACGTATGGTCCTGTACCTGATATTAATTTCTAGCCAACTTATTTATCTATATAATCTGATCAAACGAATGGTAGACTTTGTACAAGACAATACAAAGTCAGCTACGTGGGTGGCTCTTTATCTCACCTACTTCTACCGTTAAACAGCTTACTTTGTAAGCTGTTTCTTATTATATGTATTTTTTATTACATTATATTTGCTATGTAATATAACAGGTTACACTTAGCTCGTCAGTTGCAAAATTATAGGTAAATACTTCTATAATACATACAGATAAATATGAATTTGATTTTGACATATATTGAATAATGTGATAAAATAAGAGATAAAACAGAAGTATCCACGCAGATGATTTTTACAAAATCTGCTTCCCTAGATTAAATATCACATAAAGGGGGAAAGGGGATTGTTAGTGTGTGATGACGATAATGCTATCAATGCACCATATAGGGTTGACATCTACGTAGTTCTCTCTCGAAACTTCCTGGTGAATTTCTCACAACGGGCTAACTGACCTGACCTCATGCTCATCTTATCATCCTCCACTGGTGCCCCGCGAGCGTAAACCCGTTATCGAAGGCAGATAAACTAAACTTTATCCACCATTAAAAATTAAGAAAATATTACATTATCACATAAAACGGGATGTCCGTAGATGACCGTTGCTGTCCATCAAGTGGGTTGTCAGCTTGTTTAGCCTTCCAAATACATAAAATAAAATATCTGGTAATCTAAATCATGTTCGATGCCGATACAGTCTTTGTTTTATTTATATTCATGGATACGTATATAATAAATTTAACTTTTGATGTATCATAATTAAGTACCTAGTGTCAAGCAAACATTTGCGCATCTAAAAATAGTTTTATTGATAATTATAACTTATCTGATAAAGGTCAACACCAAATCATTGCATTTACATACTAGTATTGCAAGTTATATAAATAGAAATAAAATTAAAGGCTTTAATACTTACTAGCCATGGTTCGTGTGGTAGATATAGATACTATATAATAAAAAATATACAGTGATACGTATGGTAGGTACTTATAATCACAAAAGCAGCGCCTCATCGAAGGATAAAATGATAAGATTAGATAACTAGAACACCATTCCATAATAACATAACAATGAGTGGGTTCGTTATAATTATGATGGTAAAAGAAAAGTTTATACTTTAGATTTTTTTTTTTTATTTTGGGGAGTCCGCTCCAATTCACCAAGTATGACTATTCGTGAGAGTCCTATTTAATTCCTCTTAATATAGGTAGTTAAGATTTTTTAAATAATTTAATTAAAGACTGTTTTATTTACACTATTACGCTAAAAACTGACTAGTGTCGTTGGTATTGTTAAAGATACAGTCAATTGATAATTTTGTACATACCGTCATTTTACCATATTAACCAATACTTACATAGAACATTGGGTAACGTGTTTGTATGTATAGTAATAAATTCTGTTATATATAAATAAGTTCTGTTATATATTCTTGCGAGCACCACAAAATAAAAAAATTGCATGATTACCATTAGGTATGTAAGATAGTAGATAGATGCAGGAATTAATTTGAGAACAAAAATGTAATGACGTGCAGTTACAGCTACTGTATGTTGTTTAAGCTATTTATCTGCACGTTTCCTCTGTTAGAGGGGGTTCCTTTTTTCTAAACTGGTTATTTGTTTAGACAAACAGGGTAAATATATTCGTGTAAATGTTTCAAATAGTTTATTTCTTATGTTCATTATTCCTGCTGCGTTTCTCTGAAAAAAATTACAGGATAAGAAAGAAGGGGCGACCCGGTTTCGCACGGGTACATGATTTATATCAAATACAAATTATTAGTCTATCAATACACATCCTAAAGAGGTGCCTAAATATTGAAGTCATAAATGGCTTTGCACAAGATCCATAACATTTGCAATGCAAATCAATGTTCGTTGCATACGCTTAGGTTTCTTTGGGTGTTGCCTTGATTGAGTTTAATACAAACGGCTATAAATATGACGGATGCTAGTGAGGCAGATGTAATAATTAATAACTCTCAAATGGATCTAGTCTGGGAGATTAATTAATGGAACAATGAAAGATATTGATGCCGAACATAAATACCTAATTACTTGAGTTTATATAACCAAACAGACCACATGACTTCATGAATTGAGGGGTCAAATTGTAATCTATGTGTACTCGATTATTTTTAACGATTTTGATAAAAATTACAACATGTTTTTAAGGTACAATTTAAAAATGTGTTCAGATATACTTTCGTGTTGACTAAATGAACATATTTATGAATATATTTGGATTCAAATGCTAATTTCTGAACTAAAAGTAAAAATGAATAAAACTCAGCGTACAGAACTAGAGACCAATGGTTTTATATGTACTCATATCGATATAGTGTGGATATAATAACTCTACATATTAAGAACAGATTGTGGGTTTAGTTTGCATACAATCGGGCCTACATTGATGTTCGCGCGTGCAATAATTCATATTGTATGAACGAAACAATTTTTATGATCCTTCATGTGACCTGATTCGTGTTAGCAGTTATGAAAGTTATTACACATTAAATAGTTGCATTATTTTTAGTATGGGTTATTGATGTAAGAATTATTTATGCATATCTATAAACTTCTAATTCTAATATTAACATTCACTATATTGGTTCTGAATAGCCAGATACAAATCAGGGTTTTAAATTTTCAGTGACATTGAATTTTGTCTGAAATTTGCATGAATCTTTATGATTCGCATACCGATTGGCTAAATGATTAATATATTAATAACTATTTATGTCCTGCAATTTAACTAATAATTGGATATTAAAATAGCAGTATAAAATAATTTGAAAATACATACCTATAATCTAGTTCAGCCACCCAATAACTTTTCGGTTGCAACCTGTAACAAATTAAATAAAAATTATTATTAACTATTTGGAATGACAATATATTTAATATTTATTTAATATTCGCGGCAAATTAGAGATGTTCTTTGCCAGAACTATTTGTTGGAAATCACACCTTATTATTCAAGATCGATGGTGGTCAAAAGTTAAAGCTAAAACAAGGATTAAAAATAAACATAATGTAGATACCTAGATGTTTAAAATTTAATTAGTTACGTCACTAATGGAACTAGTGGAATTCCAATTGTCTTTTTATTTAATGCCAATGACAAGGCAATCTATTAAGGTCTTCTATTGATTGTCATCGTCTGGCTATTACAACAATTTAATGGTAGTAAAAATAACAGTAACCTACCTAATCACTGTTTGTTACAGCTGACTAATTTTAATTATAAATAATAAATATTAAACTATTTGTTGTCATAATAATTTTAAATAAAATGTTAACTTAAAACTACCTCTATCTGATATATAGGAATGAAATCCTGCCACCGTCTTGTTAGCTCAGCATCAGACTTATAAAAAATTATAATACAGTAAAAATAACTAAGAATTCATTGCCTTCAGTAAACAGTGCACTACTCACTCACTTCTGGTAAATCGGGGGACTTGCATTTGTTTTGGGGAAAGCCTATATATAATATTCATAATAATAGACGTTGTAGCGAATATAAATAATATAACATTTCATCATTGGTTATTAAATTAAAAGATTGGAAATGCTTAAATTAGAAACAATACAAAGATTTCATTACAAGTTTGTTTGTTTGTAATACTTTATTGTACAATAATATTATAAATAAAAGGACACAATTGACTTAGAAAAAAAAAAACATGCGTACAATGGCGGACTTATCCCAGAAACTTCCAGTCATTTGAGTTACTGAGAGGAATTGCGCAGTGGTGGAAATAGGTACAATAAATAATACGCGTCACAATGACATATATAACTAATAATATATACAGAAAATACACACAAATATATATACATATACATACATACACATACATATACACATACACATATACATACATATACACATACACACACCAGAAAGGAAAAGAAAAATAAAGATCAGAATGACTCCAGAGCTTATTAAGATGTCTCTTAAGAGAACTGATCGAAATAGTCTAATCTCTGTGGGGAGTAATTCCATTTAAAAGATTTAGTGTAGCGGTGGCTTATATGATAAGGAATTGTGAGTATAAGATCATGACAAGAACGTATATGCTCACCAGTTCGGAATCTCTCCTGCAAAAAGGGCGAATTTGAAGAGGATTTGGAATAAGAGGGTAAGGAAATGAATATTCCGACGAACACGGATAGGAAGCCAGTTGAACGGTAGGCTGAGATATGATCAAACTTTCGTAGACCAAAGATAAACCTGATACATAGATTTTGCAGCCGCTCCAGCTTATCCAGTACGGGTACGGGAAGAAGTAGTGATCGAGCCAGCAACAATTTGGTACCCAAGGGCAGGAAAAACTGCAGGCGTCTGAGAGAATGGAGAGATGAAAATAATCTGCGGCTTATGTCACTTATGTGAGGCCCCCAAGATAAAGTCTGATCCATGATTATTCCTAGATTCTTGACGGTGGGAGAGAAAGGAATATGATTGCCGTCAAAGACAATGTTAGGAATTTGGACAGATTGTAAGCTTGAGATGGAGTGGTGACTGCCGACAATGATAGCTTGAGACTTCGCTGCATTAATTAATAGACCGAATTTTTGAGACCAATCAGCGATGGTGCAGAGATCGTAATTTATATTGTTGATTGCACGAGCTATATTGTCAATAGGAGCAGCGGTGTATAACTGAAGGTCATCAGCGTATAAATGAAAAGAAGAGGAGAGAGAGGCTGTGATACCATTAATAAAAAGTGCAAAAAGAATAGGTGATAATATTGCACCCTGTGGGACCCCAGCCAGAACATTAGCCCAGTTGGAGCGGAAATCATCAACTTTCACCAGCTGACGCCGGCCAAACAGGTAAGATCTAAACCAGAGAGAACAGGAGAGGAAAAGTTCAAACAGAGGATAGCCAGCAACAGGTCAAAATCAACTGAGTTAAAGGCACTAGTGAAATCGAGTAATACAAGAACTGTCACATCTTTATTTTCAATATTGTGCCTTATGTCATCAGTGATCTTGACAAGTGCAGTAACCGTACTGTACAAGTATTTCAGATCTTTCCCATCTCAATAAAATTTTCCATGACTGCTCCTTATATCGGTATATTTTAATGATAGAATGACATCAGACTCCGAAATTGGGACCCAGGTGGCGAATTACGCAATAACTTAAAACAGTTAAACACCGAGCAAATGTATCTAAAAGTGAAAACAATCAAACAGATGGCACAGGTCAATACCCAAGACTTGATCGTTTCTTGTTCTCTACAACAAATATATAGATAAATTCGTATTCGTTCTGATAAACGAGTACACGCCCTAGATCGTATCGATACGAGCACAGATAGTCGTGTTTACAAACTCCTACAAAGTACTTAGACAGGTTTCAGTCTGGTTCAGGGATGCCAGCCGTATGAGATCCTCAAACAAAAAAATTACTAGTTCGAGATTTTTGGCCTTCGGTACAAGGAAATTTTCATCTTCGCCCTAGTATATACAAGATTACGATCTACGAAAATAGGTAACATACTATTGTTACTCATAGACAAGACCTAAATTGATTTTATCAGATTTTTTAATTTCTACGTACAAGGCCATGTGTTATAAGGTTGACAACCCTGGTCTGGCTAGACCGGTGGTCGGTTTTGTAGGAAGGGGTTTAGACATTGCGGGTAGTCTATACAAATGACGTTACGGCACAGTAAAATTGAAAGCATAACTTGGTACTTAGAAATGTGAACAGACTCTACTATCTTTAACAGGAAATCAAAATATCGCAATGAATTGACTAACTGTTGTAATTAATAATAAAACTACTTTTGTTTGACTCTTTTTTATTGGGAAAAATATTATTAGTGAGATTAAAATTTAAAATTTTAGAGTGAACGACACAGTCAAAATAGTCTACATTCCGTTCGCAGCTCGATGCAATTTAGACTTTTTTACAAATAATAATAAAAGTAAACAAGCTATAATTTGCACTTAATATTTTTTATTTATTTTTATGTCTAAATTAACTTAATTGTTTATGCTATAATGGTGAAATGAGGTTGTTTGTCAATTTATTACTTTTGGGTTGTCATCATGTATATAATAAATATTTCTGTGGAAAATTTTTATTGCTTAATATATCCAATATATATTTCCAGTATATAATAATAATTTCATTTTCAATTTCCTTATTAAAATATAGCAACCTATTTTAAAATATAGTAATATAAATTTCTAGTTCTAGAATTAGATAATGAAAACATACAAACAATATGAAATTTATCGACAATAAGTTATAATTTTCATTTGAACAAACTTATTCAGTGAGCTACTTCAATGTAGAAAAACAATGCTGTGCTATAAAAACCATAGCCCATAAACCCAAAATTAAACAGGAAACCATACTACTGAATGACTCACATTGTTAAATGTACTCTACCTACACGCAACTAACTTACCGTAATAGACATGCACCAAATAAATTTCAGTTTCTGTACTTTTTATGTAATATACGAAATGTCTAAATTATCAGACAACATACTTATGTATTCGTCAATAGTGAATATGTTTAAATTTTCAATAGTGTATGTGTATGCTTTATTACATCTAAATTCAGTAATCAACATTTTGAAGTCGTAAACTTGTGATTTCTTAACTCAAATTCAGTTCTATAAGTAAATAAGTAATAAATCCTTACATTTATAAACGTATAAAAAGATAATTTTATGTGTAATCACTGTACGCAATGGAATATCTTAAATGAATATGTGTATAAGACAAAAATAAGATGATAAAAAGCAGCTAAATTTGACTGCTGAGCAAAGTGCAACGAGAATAGGAATATTACCGACACAAAGTTTAATTTAACCAATACATTTGTTAGAGCAATTTTTTTTTAACCTAAATTTAATGTATTCATAAGCACATTTAATTTTGACTAATATTTATATATATTCGCAATAATAGAATTTGAATAACAAATAGATGTATACAAAGCAGACTACCATTAGTCAGATCCAAATATACACCCATCATTCAAGGCAAATTTATTTCTATGATATTTTTAAACGCCTTTTTATTATCGATTACGTTTGATTGACTAAAGACATTCGCCAAGGCTGTGATGATTGTAAATTTAGAAGTATTTTAATAGAGCACTGATGAAGAATATTTCTTTATTATAACATTGATTAATGATTAGCATAGGAGGGGATGGCCGTGTGGGGAATTGGTGACGTGACACACTATTGTGAAAGAAATTATGGTTGTCACGTGCGTGTAGTCAGTCACGTCCTCTGTATTAACGAGATGAAGACATGTGTATCATATTTCTGAGTGAAAAAGTGCAGCGAATGGGATGAATAGAGTGAATAAAGTCCAAAGCACGTCGAACGGTCTGGTCTACCGTCACTGTTGACACATTACTACCATAGAAAGCTGTGCCAGGCATACAAACGAAAGATTATGCATGTACAAATAAACTCTGACGCAGATAATCAGAATTACGTCATTGTATAAGTCGAGTTGTAGAATTTCAACTTTAATGAAATGCATTCTGCCTTTCACCAAAATTGAAATAAACGAAACAATTGTATGCAATTGTATTACTATAGAAATGTGCGAGGTAATTTTATCTGTCAAATCACATGCTGCTGAGGAAGTAATTCGATTTTCATTTCTTTTAATGCTGCCTACACGCAATAACTTTTGATTTGTATCCGTTACAAAGTTCATGGGTGCGACGTGACAAAATAAATATTCACACGACGACAGTGGCGGAGTTGTCACGGGGACAAGTAATTGTAAACCTAATTATTTTGGGGCAAGGATTATTTGCGTACCTAATTTTGAAAAATGAATAAATAATTTA